AAAGAAAGAAAGAAAGAAAGAAAGAAAGAAAGAAAGAAAGAAAGAAAAGGTAGATAAGACCAGTTTCAGGTATTCACAGCACTCAAAGTAAATTAGGCAGCAGGGATCCCGGGATGAAAATTGAATCTGAAATAAGTTGCTCAAATTTGGTGGAGCAACAACAAGCAGGAAATACTTAGTGCAGACTCCTTGAGCTCAGGTACGCTGTCATGGCTGAAGAGGAGCGAGCCTGCAGGTGCTGTCAACAGGGAAACTACAGCATCTGACTGTTGGCCGGGCTTGTCAGGAGCCCAGCTTGTCATTGAGGTGATGATGAGTAGGCTTTCCCGAACTAAAGAACCGGCTGAACAAGACAGACATTATTTTTCACCCACAAGGCCGTATCTTCAGGGAATTCACCCGCTTCTACTGCAACTCCCACTTGCAAAAATAAATACAAAGAAAATGCAGGAAAATGTTTTGTTTTGTTTTCTCTGAATGAAGCTCAGTGGTGTTGAGAACCAGCCCTTGACCCGCTGTGGCAATGGCAACATCCCACCAGGCTCCACTTCTCCTCTCACAAGACTGCAACTCCAGGGATTCCCAGGGTCTCCTTATCCTCTTAGGTCCTTCTTGGATGAAGACCACAATGGACATTAAGAGACCCTCTTAACTTCTGTATCAAATGCTAATCTTGGCACTCATCAGGAGGCCACACAGTCATCTAAGCATCCCTGGGGCGCCCCAGACTCCAGATCATCCTCAGATGAGTGGACAGCCTGCTTGCAGAGTAAGGCTATGAAGAGCCGATGAGCAGCTGGAGAGGCTGCCCAGTGTAAGCCCTCCTGTAGTTATGGTGACTCCTGTGCCGTGGTGGTGACTGCAGCTACCAGCTATGTGACTGACGGTCACTCAGAGGATGAAAAAGCAGTGAAGAGTGAAGCTTCAGCTGAGGGAGTCTGGAGGTTCCTTTTCTTTAACAACATCAGTGACTTCCAATCAGGAAAACAGGTAGTAGGCATCCAGCTATCCAGCCCCACAAAAGGAAAACACTCCTGCGTTGATGGCCTGTCTGCTGGGATGAGGCAAGGGTAGGGCTAGCCTCTTCTAGACTGATGCAAGCAGGTGGATACAGGACACCTGCCACGCACAGCAAAGCACCACACACAGCTGGCTGCAGCTGTCAGCTTACTAAAGCCATGAATGTGCATGATCCCTCCTCACTGGCAGCGGGCTCTACTATGCCATTCGTCATTTGTGCGACATGGCCTAAGAGGTAGTAACACGTCTTTTTCTAGGTAAGCAAAATGTAGGTGAGGTTTAGTATCAGCCATCTCTCCAGGCAAAAAAACATGCTGAAGCTCAAAGGGAAAAAAAAATGGACATTTGGGTTAAATTTTGTGTCTTCTAAAAAGAGAACATTCTGCTAGGCGTAAGTTGCACACACCTTTAATCCCAGCACTCAGGAGGCAGAGGCAGGTGGACCTCTTTGAGTTTGGAGCTTGCCTGGTCTATAGAGTTCCAGGGCATTTAGAGCTACAAAGTGAGACCCCGCTTCAAAAAAAATAAATAACAAAAAAACAAAACAAAACAAAAATAAAAAAAAAAAAAAAAAAGCAACCAAAACCAAAACCAAAAGCCACATTCTGGCTGTGAGCGGTGCAGCAATACCCGAGACATAATCTAGCCTAACTTTGCATTAATTTAGAGGCGGGGACACGTTTAAAGCTGGAGGAGCCAAGGCTCACGGAGATGGGATAGCATGTCCAAGGCCACACAGTTATCATCAGCAGGACTGGGATTCAACCTAGCAGTCTAGCCTTGAGTTTCATTAATTCTTTGTCTGCTGCATCCTGCATCGCTTGCTCCTGGAAACCAAACAGGGGAGATGGTGGCATTTCAGAAATGAAGACAGCGCCACCCCACACCTACACAAAGGCTGAGATCAGGTAGGCTGTGCTCTCTTTGATAGAAATTTCACCTACTATGAAACAAGAAACTCGACTGTGTATTATCTACAGCACAAGAGGGTCTAGCTAACCTGCTCAATCCCCAGAGAAGGTTGGTAGAAGGTCTGTCTGGGGTTGTAAACATTGGGAAGGAGAAGGAAGCTGCTATTCCCAGATTTCACTAGGAGGTGGTGCCGTGTGCATGGGTATGAGGCTTTGGGGTTCCCAAGATGGCTGTGCTCACGTCAACAGCACACATTTACCAGTGTCTTCCTCTGCTCACAACTGTAGCATGCTCAAGGGACGTGGTGTTCAGAAAGGAGAAGGCGTAAATTATAAATGGTCAGGGTACAAGCTGGTCTCTTCCAGATGGAACCCCAGCTCAAGCCTAGGTGTTTCAGGGTCTTTCCTCTGGTGATAACCTGCACAGAGGTGTTGGCTGGTTTAAGAGAAAGAAGTTTGGGTCTGGAGAGATGGCTCAGTGATTAGGACCAGGACATCATAAACCATGCATGGCAGTTCACAACCACCGACAAACTTCATGGTTACATATATACACTCAGGCACATGTACATACTCATAAGCACTTGAAAAAATAAAAAAAAGCTTTGAGGCAACCTGGATTTCCATCAGCAGACAGAAGCCAGGACTGGTGGTATACCATATTCAATGTGTATGTTTTGTTTTTTTTTTGAAAAAAAAATTTTTAATTCAATTTACATCTCAGTTATGGCCCCTCCTGTATTCTTAAGAGAATTATCATGTGTGAACTTTAAGATGACAGACCACAGGGGCTGGAGATGGCTCCGCAGCTGGGAGCCATCTCTCCTTTGCTGCTCTGGCAGAGGACCTGGGTTCAGTTCTCAGCACCCAAATGGTGGTTCCCAACTTCTCTAACTCCAGAGACTCTACAGGCTCCTGTGAGCACCTGGTACATACACAGACAAGCAGGTACACACAATCAGGTAAATATTTTAAGACAGGCTGTATGCAAACATCCATACCCATGTACCCATGTACTATGGACTAAGAGTTTCTATCCAGTCTCCATCTTGCCAGTTTTTACGATAAAGCTCTTTTTCAAGTCCAGCCTTGCTTCTTGACTCTAGTCTTTGTTCCTCCTGGTGCTAGATACTGAACTCAGGGCCGCTCGCCGCGCGGCGTGCAAGTCTCTCACCACTACTGTTCTAAAGACGTGCCCAAAGTTCCCAGCTACTACCGGGGCACACAAAACTAAAAGGAAACGGGTTGAGACAAAAACTCAGTCATCTGATCCCCAGACCTAATTCAGGAGTGGCGGTGCATGGGGAGGCAGAGGCAGGAGGTTCTCTGGGACTCACTGGCCAGCCTGACCTATCTGGTAAGCTCCAGGCTAAAAAACAATGGAGGCCGGTGGTGGAGGGTTGATACACACCTTTAATCCCAGCACTCAGAGGCTGGGAGGCTGAGGCAGTAGGATCTCTGAGTTCAAGGCCAGCCTGGTCTATGTAGTTAGTTCTAGGACATCCAGGATTCTATAGAGAAATCTTGACTCAAAACAAATGAAAAAAACCAAACCAATCCAGGAATAGGGTTCCCCTATTCTCATCAAGGGCATCACTGGTGACACAAACTGGCACACAGCTGTGACCCCAGCACTCAGCAGAGGCGGGAGGAGACAAAGGGCAAGGCCTCTCTCAGTTAGTTTTGAAGCCAGCCTGGGCTACATGAAATGGTCAGGAGTGTAATGGAAGTTTTGGTTTCTTTAAAAACTGTTTTTATTATATAAATGTTTTTGTTTTAACCCCAAGGTGTACAATTTTAGTTTGTCCACAGCTGATAACTGCCTCCCGTGGGGCGTGGTCTTTATCAGCTGGTAATGCCTGCCAGGTGTGGCCTGGAGGGGCGTGTTCTAGGACTCAGAGAAATATACATGAAAGCCCAGAGAGAGTGTGGCACTTTGGAGAGACCAGAGTCCGACTGTGTGTCAGCTTGGAGGAGGCTGCTTGCTGTGTTTGTTGCTGATGGAGACTGGAATAGCCCCCAAAGAACCCATCAACCCCAAACAGCCTTGAGGAGTAAAGGGGTCTGCACCCCCTCTGCACTAACCTCCTCTCTCTTACCTAGGGTTAAAGGGTTGGTAGAAGGAGGGTAGAGGCTTAAATACCCCAAATAAAATAGAATTTAAAAACAAATGCAACACAAGGAGACTTTAAAAAAAGACGTACAGAGAAAAATGGCAGGCAAAAAAGGGGACAGCTTTTAAACAAAGAGGTGCATCACGCTCTCATTAAATCATTGCCTGCTCATACAACTGAGGAAGAGAACTGGAAACATCCTCTGAATGACAGATGAAGAAAAGAAATCCCCAAACAAGGAAAGCAGTGCCACCCCCTCCAATGAAAACAGAATACCAAAAGCTGGTGTGACCATGAACCGAGCTCTCCGGCTGGCGCTGCTAGCAGTCTATCACGGATAGTTGTCTTCTGGGCCGCAGGCTATGAGCTGCCAGTATTTACCTGGGAGACTGTCTGGGAGCTGGAAGCAAAGGCAGGTAAATACACCGAAGGCCAGCTGAGCAACTGGCAGGTTTTATGTTTTATTTCCAAAAAAAAAAAAAAATGACATCTTGTTTTCATAAAAAGGAAAACCAGACTCTCAAAATGCAGGCCACCTTCAAGGTAGCCACCGGAGATAGCACACTGTCCAAGGCAAGGTTCAACAGGGGTGCATGAGGTATCCAAAACAATCAACAAATTAAGGAACAACAGAACTCAAGTCATTTAGCACTTAGTGAAACAGCCAGAGCAGGAGCCCCAGTGGAGCTTCAGACGGTGTCAGCAGGGCCAGCACGACTGACGGCCAGTGATACTGGCTTCCTAACTTGGTCTCCGCAGCCATGGCTTCTTAGCCGATGTCCAGAGCAGCCTGAGGGATCCAGAAAGCCCTCCACACCACTCCAAGCTGCCATCCCCTCTAGTCTCTCATATGTCCTTGGAGCATGACCTTCATGACAGTCTCTGCTTTGGAGGAAAGACAAATGAGTAAGTGAAGGAGGAGCCTGTGTTTCGTCCTCTCTCATCCCCCTTCCATCACTGCCATCTTCGCCTGTTCTCCACAACCACCAGAGTAAAGGGAGACCGTAAAGCTGCTCATGTCACTGTCTGAAGCTTGGTCCTGGTGGAAGCTGGGCTGTGGGCTGATGGTATTACCCAAACAGCCTCCATCAGCAAGAGGATCCCACCTGGGCTAGCAAGCAAGTCTTCACCTAGACATGAAAGGCTCAGAGCCACCGACTCTCTAGTACTAGAGCATGCACTGTATTTAAACGTGAGGTGGGCAGGGCGTCCAGGGCATCCCAGGGCCCTCTGCTTAAACACAACATGGTTCTCCCAAACGCAACTGTCTTTGTGGTACAATTGCCAGCACTTGGGAAGACGGTTGTCACCCGGGGAGGCTTTCCTGTGCTTACAAACAGATGGTGGCTTCTGGTGACATGGCAGAGACATCTCACTACAGACCACTAAGTCGGAGAACACCTGTACCTGTGAGCGGAAGGGAGCCTCTGCAATCACAAGGACTACAGACTCGGAAGAAGTGTGAGGGACTTCCTGAGTCACTAGTCACTAGTTCATACAGTCCACTCAGCCCCAGAACTGACCACCACCAAAAGGACAGTCCTGTCTCCAACAGTCCCTGTGACGGCACCGTCACGGCCCTGCATGCACGCACTCCCATGGGTGTGTGTGCATACAGGGAGCACAAATGTCTGCACGTGAGTGTGGAGGCCAGTCAACCTTGGGTGTTCTTCCTCAGCTATGCACCTATAGTTCTTTGAGACGATCTTTCACTATGCCCCGAGGCCCACTGAGGAAGCTCCCAGCCAGCCTCAAGGACATGATTGTTGCCACTACCCCAAAGCAGGGATTTTAAGTGCCAGCAGGTCCAGTCTTTTAAGTGGCTCTGGGAATCAAACTTGGTTCCTCATGCTTGTAAGCACTTTACCATCTCTCCGCCCTTCTTGTCATTTCAATTGTATCCTGAGTTATCGATTAACAATAAAAAGGGAAACAAATTAAACAGATGAAATCTCTTATTTTGATGATGAGAAAAAGAACAAAAGGCAAAGGTCCTTCCACCTCTCCTCTCTTTGTTCCTGGAGGGGACAGGAACCTCTCCAGAAGACCAACAGAGACAACTAACGCAGGCACATGGGGCCTTTCAGAGACTGAGACATCAACTAAGGTGCATGCATGGTCTGGACCCCCGCACACATGTAACCCACAGGCAGCTTGGTCTTCATACGGGGCGCCTGGTGGGTGGAGGGAGTGTTGTTTCTAACATGGACTGGATAGTGCCTGCTTCTGGGTCACTGCCCCCTGGCAGTGCTGTCTTGCCTGGCCTCAGGGGCTGAATATAGGAGCAGTCCTGATATGACCCGATGTGCTGGGGGAGGTGAATCTGGGGGGAGGGTTTCTCTTTTTCTGGGGGGAAAGGAAGAGAGGAAGAAGGAAGGGGGAAGAGTGGCGGGGAGAACTGGGAGGAGAGCAGGGAGGGGGGCACCCTCAGGAGGTAAACTAAAAAAAAAGACAAAGGAAAAAGGGGGGAAGGGTCAAAGGGAAAGCAGTAAAAAACTGAGTTAGCTCAGAAAGAATTTAAAAAAGGGGGGAGCAGTAATGAAGAAAGTAGTATCTATTAATTTTCATCCTGTAATAATTTTGCAAAGCATACATTTTTAAAAATAAAAAGCTTATAACTGGGCTTGGTGGCACTAGGGAGAACGCAATCTGAAGAAGCCAAAGTTGAGAAATACACACACAAACACACACACAATTTTTACCTCCAGATCTTTTGGTTTTGTATACTGTCCCCCTCCCATGCTAGGTAAGGACTCCTACCATCCAGTATGTCTCCTGCTTCTTTCATTTCAGAAACTCCAGGAGAGCTGGGCACAGTGGCCTAAGCCTAAGAGCCCAACACTTGGGAGGTTCAAGGGGAGGACAGCTACGAGTTCGAGGCTGTTAAGACTCTCAAACTCACCCTACAACCACCATGAAACCAGGAGGAAAAAAAAAAAAAGAGTAACTGCTGGGGAAATCCAAGGGTAAACATAGTTGAACATCCCTCCCCTTACCAGCTTCCCATGGGGAATTTCAAATCTTTTCCCTCAGAAGGTGCCTGTGTCACTGTTTCACAGCCATATGAGCCCTGGTGCAAATGCCTGACTTTGAATGTATGTTATCTACCCCAGCTGCAAGGCATGCTTCCTAATACCAACTCTTCTCCTCAGGCTTCAGAGTCTGTCCCAATGATATTTCAAACTTGGAGACACCCAACAGGCAGGGAGGCTGAGGAAGGCACTGTTCTCGGAGAGTTGGGATATCTGCATGGGAAACAACCAAATGCTTGCTAGTTCCCAGCGCCTATGTTTGTTTTTTATTCCTTTTGTTTCCTGCTTTATGTATGTATGGGTGTTTTGTCTACACATATGTATACAGAACATATGCATACCTGGTACCCAAGGCAGCCAAAGGTGTCAGATCCCTTTGGAACTGCAGTTACAGACAGCTGTGAGCCCCCATGTGGGAGCTGGGAATTGAACACAGGTCCTCTGGGAGAGCAGAAGTGCTCTTGATCACTGAACCATCTCTCCAGCCTCAGATCCTAAGATCTTTTTAAAAATTCCCATGCACTAAGGAACAACGCAGCTTTTAAATGTCAGCAGAACATTGAGAAGCTGGCATTTCATTTGGAATTCTCTTTAAGACCCAGCAAAGCTGATGGCTCTGGCGCATCTTTCCCTAGATCAAGTCTTGTCTAGAGAAAATCTCAGAGATGTGTATGCCACAGGGAGCTGCTTCCTTTACAGTCGCTACTGTTCCAGAGAGGCCCAGGGATAGGCCATTTAGCCTCTGCAGAGAAGGGGAGCGGGATTGGCTATGTAGTCCATACAAGTGACTCTAGGTAAGAGGAGACAGGTGATAGGCTCTTCTACAGTCATCAGCTGTGACTGGACTGATGAGAACAGAGGCATGTGCTGGGAAAGTAAACTCTCAGAGGCACCTCACCCCAACATGGACAACACATTCCAGATCAAAGGTCAGACCTGATCCTGAGCCAATCTGGTTCCCAGGCCGACAAAAGCAAGCCTTCTCACCCGCCAGCAGGTCCCTCCTAGTCTTGGTTGTTTGGCAAGTCATGTGCCTTGACCTCTTTTAGAAAACAAGCTTACAGGAAGCCAAAAGGCTTGGCCCAAATATCACTTCCTCTACAGGATCCTCTGTCATCTCCACCTGCCCAGAGCAGCTTGAGCGGTCCTTGCTCTGAAGCTGCACGGAACCCTGCTGTGGAGCTCGGTCTCCTTGCCTTCCTGTCCCTCCAGCAGGCAAGCACCGGATGATGCGTCTGGGCCCATCCTGTAATGTTTCTGGGAATGACAAGGCAGAAATGAAGGGCAATGGGGGTTCTGCCAGAACCAAGGCAAAATCTGTGGAGGCTCTAAACTGGGCACAGAATACTCCAGCATGTACCAGGAGAGCCACACACACTCCCTTCCAAGGTTCCGATCATATCCCGGGACAGTAACTGGCTAAGGCACACTTCCTGCTCAGCACCCAGGCCACCCAGTTGTGACGAGCACTCTCCCTGCCCAGTTTCACACCATGGCTGCATATAAATTAGCAACAGATTCCTGTCCCTACTTGAAATAGTTGGAGAGAAGAAAGCAACCAACAGAACACCCAATTCCTGTTAAGAGAACTTGGCCTTTAAGGCTACCCAGCATCTCTGAACTTAGGAATACAGCTGAGCCACACACACTATGGTCAGGTGACACCATTATGGACTGCAGCTCCTGGTTCATTTCCAGTCCCAAGATGGTAGTGACAACATGGCAGCCAAACCCACTGTGCCTTTTGCAATGGGTCTCTACGCAATAACTGAAACTTCCTGCCCAGTAGCTTCCTTGTTCTGCTCTTGGAGTCGCCTGCTGCAACAGTATCAAGGAGTGGCTCTCTGCAGCCTTAACATCAAGCCCCAAGAATGGCACGGTCACTTAACTCAGTGCTTCCCAACCTGTGCCGCAACCCCAAAAGACCGTCAGAAAACAGATATTTACACTACGATTCCTAACAGTAGCAAAATTAGAGTTATGAGATAGTAACAAAATAATTTTATGGTTGGGCTCACCACAACGTGAGAAACTGTATTAAAGGGTCAGAACATTAGGAAGGTTGAGAACCAGTGACTTAAATGAACAGACTTTCACTACAAAGGGACAGTTCAGGGACACTTGCCACCCACTCCCCAATGTTCTCATCTAAAGCCACGACTAGGAAATGTGTTATTAAACCCACCAAAACCCAAAGACAGAAGGGCTAACTCACAGTTCCTTACACTTAACTGCGTGTATGTGCGTGTATGGGTGCATGTATGGGTGCGTGTGTGCGTGCGTGTGCGTGTGTGAGAAGGGGGAGATAGTCCTGGGGTCTAAACCCTGGGCCTGTGCATCCTAGGCAAGTGCCACTGAGCTGCACCCCGGGCCTGAGCATGGCTCTCACAGAGCTTGTCTATTTGTGTCCCCAGGTATTCTCCAAGTTGCCAATCTCACTCGCACACATCCTATTTATAACTCAGTGGCAGAACCAAGCTGCCTTCGGCAACAGCACCATCTGGTGGTCCATATGGCAAACCATCTGACTGTTTTCTCGTCACAGCTTGCTTTTACTGCCCTCCTCGGAGCAGGGCATACACACTTAAGCTTCCCTCCTCTTGGATGCTCATACAACGGAGGCTAACTCTAATTCAGTCCTTTCCTATGTGGTTAGCTGAACCCCCTCTACACTCTCATTTCTCCTGCCTGTCCTTAACTCAAAAATCATTTACTAAACTATTCCCCAACTTCACCCCTAAAAAGACCTGCCGTGGTTCAGACATGATGACATTTTTGTTAAGGAGTTCTTCTCAGACCCACTCACCTTTTCGCTCCCTAATAAGGATACATCTTCGTTCTCTCACTTCGGAGCTTAGACTGTCCACCATCTTGTTAATGCAATTGTCCAGAACCAGGGAGTGGGTCGTGGACTCAATGTCCTTTCGACAAATGGGACACTCTACTTTCCGTTTCATCCATTCGCTGATACAGAAGGAGCAGAAACTGTGGGCGCAATTCAGGGTGACAGCCTACAATGCAGAAAGGAACATAAAAATACACTCTTACTTTCTCAAAACAGAGTAGAAGCAAATCTCCAAGGTCAAAAAGACAGTTTTCCAGTCACATCTCACAAAGGTGCTCTAGGTACCATCTATCTCTACTGTCTTCCTCTGCTGGCTTCCACGGTTCTGAGCAGAGAATCATCTGACTACGAAGCATGCAGAAAACAGGGACCCGTAGCCAGAGTGAGTGCACTGGCAAAGACACTGACCTCCAAGTGCCCTCACAAGGCTGACACACCCACCTCCCTAGGGAGCACCTAAACAGGAATCTCTCTTCTGACATGCATTTTCCTTTCCAAAGGTACTTGAAATCCCTGCCATGTGACTGCATGAGTTTAACACTTTTAGTATAAAATGAACTGCTTCAATGATAGGAATTAATGAAAACTAAAAGAGCTGGTGCAATACTATGACTAACAAATGGCAGCCTAGCAGGCAGTGCTTTAAAAAAAAAAAAAAAAATTTTTTTTTTTTTTTTGAGACAGGGTTTCTCTGTGTAGTCTTGACTGTCCTAGAACTCTATCTGTAGAGAAAGCTGGCCTTGAAATCACAGACATCTCTTGCCTGTGCCTCCCTAGTGCTGGGATTAAAGGCGTGCATTACCACCCGGCTGAGGACCCCCAAAGCCCTGAAATCTATTCACTCTGGCCACTGAATACCCAGTGACCACACTGCCAATGGCATCCACTGCCTGCTTCAAAGGCCACACCACAAGCCCACCCTGAGCGCCATGCCCAGCCACAGTAGAGAAAGGACACAGGTGAGAATTCCAATGCTATGTGGCCCTGAAAGGCTTTCACTGCAGTTGAAATGGTAGCCGTACTATGCGAACATGAAGAAGGAAATGCAGTGAAGACTGCATGAGGTGGGGAGGGTGCTGCCTCCAGAGTCTGTGAGGCAGGCGCAGCGCGGGGCGGGGATGCCCATGCTCACCTCGATGAAGTACTCCGAGCAGATGATGCACTGGAGCTCGTTCTCCAGCACATCATTCATGTGGTTGAGAACCTCCTCCTTCTGCGCTTGGACTTTGTCCTTTTCTTCCTGCAAAGACACAACTCCACCTGTCACCTGGGTACACCAGGCAGAATGCTGGACAGGACCAGAGCAAGGTTAGCTGAGGGGAGCAGGATCCAGTATAACGTCCTGCAGCACAACTAGCAGAGAATCAAACTCTCCCCGGGGGTGGCCCTTTCCCAAGAGCTGCCACCTAACACAGAGCGCTAATCCGTCTGCTGACAGCTAACCTGCAGTGTGACAGCATTAGGGGTGAAGCCCTTAGGTTGCTGGGAGGATGGGCAGGACAGGATGAGTTGTCGCCTACAACAAAGGCTGCAGGAGAGGTGAAAAGTACCATCTGTGAATTAAATCATCTACCAGCACCTTTCAGGACTTCCCAGCCTGCAAAACTTTGAAAAATAAATTTCCATTGTTTATTAGCTACCCAGTTTACGGTATTTTAACTACAGCAGCCTGGATGAACTAAAACCCCACTTTCTCGTTATTTGCACTATGTAGTTTTTGTTCCTTTCCCCGAAAACAGCCAAGGTAGAGGCTGAAGGGGCAGGGCGGGAACAGCAAGCTGCAACCTGAGTAATAAAAACTTTCCCCCCAACTAAAAATTCACAGGACAAGATATACAGTTGTTAGCAGCTGTCTGATGACAAGGATAATACCTATTTTCCTCAGAGGCACTAAACTCTCCGATGCCTGCCACCTCCTGCGTCTGTTCCTATGCTTTCCAAAAGCATGTGGACTTATTTTTAGGAAGGATCCTAGCCATGCTCCTTTGAAGTTATTTATGTCGTCATCCTCCACACAGGAAGCAACAGCAGCACAAGACAGGGAGGAAAACATACTCAAAATATATCTAAGTAGTTGATTCATTTTGTCTTCTTTTTAGATCTATTTTTATTTTATGTATGTGGGTGTTTTGTCTATACACAAGACTGTGCACCACGTATGTACGCTGGTAGAGGGGTTGCATCCCCAGCCCCCAAAACTGGAGGACCCCCAAATCCCTGAAATCTATTCACTCTGGCCACTGAATACCCAGTGACCACACTGCCAATGGCATCCACTACCTGCTTCAAAGGCCACACCACAAGCCCACCCTGAGCACCATGCCCAGCCACAGTAGAGAAAGCACTAGTGTCACAGATGACTAAACCACCAAATGGGGTGCCGGGACTTGGACCCGAGTCCTCTGAAAAAACAAGTGTTCTTAAACGTCAGCCAACTGTGAAAAATTTTAAGTTCCTGGGTTTTAAAATATGTTGAAAAGCAAAGTGATGGCAACTTAGAGTTGGAAACAGGAGGATTAAGAGCTTAAAGTACAGGGGAACCGGAGCTACACATAGGGAAACCTTGTCTCAACACCTCCCTCCCCAGAAAAAAAGTTTAAAGTAGAGGTGGAGCTGGGCTGGAGAGGTGTGGTTAACAGCACTGGTTGCTCTTCCAGAGGGCCCAAGTTCGATTCTTAGAACCCACAAGGAAGCTTACAACTGTCTGTCATGCTAGCTACAGGGTATTCAACATCATCTTCTGGCCTCTTCAGCACACACAGGCAAAATACATGCATATGGAAAATAAAATTAAAACAAACATTGAGAGAAAATGAGCTCAAGGTCATTTTTGGCTACATAGTAAGTTTGTTTGAGGCCAGCCTGGACTATGAGATCCTGCTTCAGAAAGAGAGAGAGACGGGGAAAAAAGCTGGAGCTAGGCGGGGGTGGTGTGTGACAGCAATCCTAGCATCTGCTAGGTAGCGGCAGATGACTGGCCAGCTATGGCCACACAATAAAACCCTGGCCCAGAAGACAACGCAGTGTACTTAGAGGTTGTAGCTCTGTGACAGGGAGCTCGCCCAGAATGCCTAAAGCCCTGGTCCATACCCTGCACCACCATCCTAAAAAAGGCACTGATTTAAATACAGGACCGGGACCTCAGATCTGCTGGGAAGAACATCTCCTTGCTCTCAACTCCAGCTCCGAGCCTGGGATAGGGCGAGATGTAGTCTGACACAGTCACGAGGTTAGAAACTGACCCACGGGCCCGAAGGTGCACATAGATTAAAACATCACGATTCCTCATGAATATGCACTTTATGACTATACAAGCTTAAAGAAAAACTTGCTGACAATATTTGAAAATTGGGGCATTTCATTTAAAGATCTGGATTTCTGCCTACTGTGAAAAAAATTGGATCTGACCAGACTGAACTTGCATTTCTGGGTGGCTACTGACTGAGGAGAGAAGAGCTGCCTTCTGAGGAGTTAGGAAGCAGCACGGCCCTCACGCTCCTCTGGTACCCTACGCTCAGGCCTCTTCGCTCACTTTTTACTGCTCTGGCCTTGGGAGGCATTTGTGTGTGCAACTTGTAATTTAAGAGTTCATGGGGAGACCCCCCAAAAGAGAATCCCCACAGACAGAAGTCAGAACTCCTTCCCAGCGTTTAGCTTTTCCACAAGGAAGGAAATAGGTGCTGTCTCACAGGTGAGTATCTACAGGACAGATGACTTGGCAGATCATCTCCCTGAGGTAACAAGTAGCCATCTTTATTCACCACAGCAACCATGCACTAACTACTAAGTCTCTATCCTCTGTCCAGTACCTTGGTCTGCTCCAATTCTTTGTTCTTGGCTTGAATGATTTTCTCAAAGTCCTTCTTGCTTCGACTTAGTTCTTCCATTAGAGCCCGATGCTGCAGGAACGGCAGGAAAGCCATCAGGATGGCTGCGTAACAACCCTCTTGTTAGTCACAGCCCTCTACTTCCTCCTGCTGGTCAGTGACTTTGTTTTAGGGACCACAGATGACAATTTCAGAAACAGCCTTCCTTCATTCAGGATGGAGGATTCACAGCACAGGGGGAAGAAGTGGCCCAGCAAGTAAAGGCATTTGTGGTGCAAGCCTGATGACCTGAGTTTGATTCCTGGAATCCACAGGAGGAAGGAACCAACCCCAAAAACTCCTTCACACACACTGCAGCACATGAGATCCACGCTCACAATTAAAAAAATAAAAAATTTAAAAAAAAAAAATCTCTTTTCATTATTTATTTATTTATTTATTTTTGAGATAGTGTTTCTCTGTAGCCTTGGCTGTCCTGGACTTGCTTTGTAGACCAGGCTGGCCTGGAACTCACAGAGATCCACCTGCCTCTGCCTCCAGAGTGCTGGGATTAAAGGTGTGTGCCACTGCATTAAGCTGAAGCAAGCTTTAAAGCTATAAAAAGCCCATAAAAGACAGCCAGGTAAAAGCAGCCCTGGTTCAACAATGTGAATTACAGGTAGTCTTTTATGTGACCTGATGCTGAAAGCTGCACTATTTTGCAAAACGGATGGTTTTGCTTTGGACTGTTCATTCTCAAACTGACCTAAAATACTTGACCAGATATTTGAATGCCACAGTGTGGGGATGGTGAGGTACAAAGGCTTAACTAACATCTCCCCTCTGCTGCCCTTGCTATTCTGGAAGTAGAGTCCCTATTCCAGAGAGAGTTCTGAACTTCTACAGGCTGTTCCAGCATCACCAGGGCGGCTTCTGCTTGATGAAGACGTCAGTCTCCAGCTGAGAGCTGGTGTGCATCTGTGAGGCTCCACATCTCCAGCCTGATGGTGTGAGCATCTAGCACCTGGTCTTTCTGCAGACTGGAGATAACACAGCAGTGGGCTAAAAGGCAGAGGCAGCTAGTGGCCACGTGATGCCTGGCTGCTCCCCACTCACAACTACCACAGCCTCTGGAAGCGGGAGATTAAGTTACCTCCTGCAGAGCCTGGACCAGCTGTTGCTTCAGGTCCTCTTCTCCTTGCTCTTTCTCCAAACCCTGAAAAGCCAAAACAAAATGGAAGGTTTCCCTGCAGTCAAGGGGGAAAGAGAACAAAATCCTGCAACAAGCAGTTATGACAAGGAACATGGGGCAGAGAGCAAGGCACAGAATCCCTCGTTTTACTTCAAATTGTTATCAGCTAAGGATTTGAGCAGTGTTACTTCTTAGCTACTGCAAACCTCAGGACTGTCAGCTTCAAGCCACTAGCTGAGTGGCTCTGAAAAACAGCAGGGTGACAAGCTAAGCTTCTTTTATTAGCAACACCATGATACTAAAGTAGATGAAACCTAAGAACTGGACCACAAACACCTAAACTCAAATACAACCCCCATACTGGCACCCACAGCACTTCCATGCTTTGTCCTTCACAGCAACCACCCCTGGAAGCCACTCTCCGCCCTGCCCAGGCTTCTGCTGCCCTCCTCCACAGCTGAGCCCTCACTCGCCTGTGGCCAGCTTCTTCCACACAGCCTGTGTTCTTACTGCCTCAGGAGTTGCCTGTAGGGTAGGGGATTTCAACTCGTTCATAATTTAATGCACCACCCTGAAAATCATTCTTCCAATGTGCTAACGGGGAGCATATCTTGTCTCAACAAGGTAAATTACTTAATGATTAAAAAAAAAATTAAGCACTTTAATACCAAACAGAATTCCAACTGCAATGTCAGGCAACATGGGTACTCCAAACATAGAGCATGAGCAGGGCCTTAACGAGGCTGAGGGCAGAGGGAGACAGACACAGCTAACACAAAGAACTGGTATCTTTTCAAGGCATGACGGATGACCGGAAGATATCCAAGCCAGTCTTGTCTGTCTTTAACCCTCTGCCCCAGAGAAAGACTTTGCAGCTGTATCTTTAGCACAGAGTAGCCATGACTATGAATCACAGACACCACCTCATTTCTGAACACACCATCCTTTAAAGAGAACCATGCTGACTGAAGCTGTGATACACTAAATTCCCATGCTCTGCTAACTTAAGCAGTCAGGGCTGGGCAAAGGAAGCAGAAGCTATGCATACCACGATGCATGGCCCGAGGCGCCCATGTAATCCACGGCTAATCCTAACAGCTCAAGGAGATAGCACAGATTAGAATGAAAGGTATGAAATAAGCCACTACTGGCTGTTCTTTGCCCAGAGAGACCTAAAGAAGATAAAAATACCTTTGAACTTCAGCTGTGACTGGTCCTTTTTGGTTTTAAGACAACAATAGGGAATTGTTGACATTCGCCATTACCTGAACAACTGGGGTGGGAATGACACAGTTCCTACCACATGGGAACTGACATTTTAAGCAGGAACAGGATCAGCTCCAGCCTGAAGCTTTAGGCAAGAGCTTGTCATCTAAGAAAATGATTTGAGGATGAGGACACACTTGGTCCAACCTCCACGCCACTCATATTTCTTTTCCCTTCTAGTAAAGGAAGGTGGCTTATCATCCAGCCCGTTGGGTGCCTTTCCATGGCATTCTGGTTGATGAAGACAGGAAGAAAACCATTTTCTGCACCACCACCACCACCCCTGCCCAGGTTAGCCAGAGCAGCTCGCACAGCCCAGAGCTGCCCACAGAGCCCACAGCTGCCATGTACAAGGACGGAGCAACTAGCTGACCTGCACCTGCCCTGGGCTGTGACGTGGTTTTGACGTGGCTTTGTGGCATCCTAATTTTCATCCAACTTCTCCCTGAATTTACCTGGGTCTGAAACATCTCACTTTTCACAGATCAGCTGTGTCCAGGCAGTTCTGAGTCCCTTACTCATCTTGGCTCCCTAACTGGCCCCTGATCTCATCAGTATGCTGAAAACTCCATCTTAGTTTTCTGCTCATGTTCTGTCTCCTATGCTCAGCATTCAGTCCCTGCCCACCTGAGGCCACCCACCTCTGCTACTACTCTGTGGTACCTGGAGGTGATGCTCCTCTTCCTGGAAAGTCTTCTCCAGCTGCTCTAGTTTTGCCTGCTGCTGAGCCTGCTCTGCGTACAGCTGAGACTGTATATCTTTCAGTTCCTTCTCCATCCTCACGATTTTCTTTGAGCTCCCCTTTCGGGTCTGCCTCTTCACATTCAGAACAGCTATCTGCTTTTCATGCATCTGTGTTTTCAGCTTCAGAATCCTAGACATGGTCACCTTAAACAGTTCTAAGCTGCTCTGGGATGCTGAAAGGCTGGAGGCCTTCTGCTTCTTAGGATAAAGTTCGATGGCCTTCGGAAGATTCGGAAGAGTAGAGCAAGCGTGAGGCTCCGTGGTCTTTTCACTTGCCTCAAGAGAAGTCAACTTAGGGCACAAATATTCCAAGGGCTGACTGGCTGCTTCACCTTTTCCCTGTAACTGCACTGGCTTACAAGAGACTTTAGTTATTGCTTTGCATTTGAGATCTGAGGGACCTTCAGCTTCAAGACTCTCTGATCCATCCAAACTGAATTTCCTCTTAGTTCTCAAGCCTTTATTTTTTCCCACTGTCTGGTCATTCTTGGGGGCCAGGCAGAGAGACAGACTCTTCCAGTCTTCTTCAACAACTTCGTATTCATACTCCGCATTCTCCTTATTTTCCAGGGGCACTCCAAGCTGAATATGGTCTCCCTTATGGATGCAATAAACCTGTAATGGTGCCAGGCGCTCTCTGTTCAGCCAAACACCATTCAGACTCTGGGGAAAAAGAAAGAAAAACAAAATAAGCTCATGATTTTCCTCCTCTTAATGGAATTTCTCTCTTGCTGCTGCAAAACCTTCCGCCTTTTCAGAAGGAAAACCCTTGAGAACAAGTAGAAGCGAAAGGTTCATAAACCACCATCCTTGGAAGGAGCATTGTGCACACAGTGCTTTGGCTTTCTACCTATATTTCACATTCATACCTCCACAGAGAACTGCCTGTCTAACAGGCAAGAATCACCTTACCCAAAACACACACAACACACTAAAGAACACTGAAGCTCAATCACTCCTATTGACCTAAACTTCAGGCAATAATTCAAGAACGGAGAAAATGCTATTATAGAAGGAAGCATCCCCTCACGGTGAACCACAAGGCAGGCTCAGCCAGGAGTCACCCACGTTCCGCATGTGGCCCCATAACACACTGAGCAAGCAAAGCACTTTCCAGTGTACAAAACTAAAAAGACAGTAGCAATACTTTGTAGTAGGTGGGACCTGACCCAAGTAATACCAGCAGCCATGTGCACATATTAACAGTGTAGCAAACGGAGATGGAACTCTGGACATGAGCTCACAGGCAAATACAACACCTTGGGGGTACTGGCTGCATGCCTTCAGCAGCTTCACTACCCTGTGCCTCAGCTTTGTCTACAAAATGAGGAAGTATCTATCCCACACTGAAAAATACACTACACGACACTCAAGTACCATAAATCTTTGCTTCCTAACTTCTTGTTTTAATGAAATTCCACTGTTAAGAACATGGATAGGGAGGGGGTTGAGCTCTGAGGCAGAAGCACACGATGACCTGGCTCAATCCCCAATACTGGGACTTTAATGTACCTAGAACAGTGCCTGGCACAACTGACAGGTCACTTCGCTTCTGTGCTCAACATCTTATGGTGTAGTGTCTGAACAGGAATGGCCCTCATAGGCTCATGTGTTTGAACACTTGGCCTGTGGAAGTGGCACCATTAGCAGGTGTGGCCTTGTTGGAGGAAGTACATCACTGTGGGGGCGGGCTTTGGAGTCTCCTAAGCTCAAGCTCACCCAGTCAGTGTTACAGTCTCCTGCTGCTGTCTGCAGATCAAGATGGACTAAACCCCTGAAACTGTAAGCCTGCCCCAATTAAGTGTTTCCCTTTATAGGTGTTGCCATGGTCATGGTGTCTCTTCACAGCAATAGAAGCCTGAGTAAAATACCAGGTAAATATACCAAAGACAAAATAAGATATAAGAATTTTAGCACCTATTTGTAGGGGAAAAAATGCAAGGACACAAGTATGGGATCCTGTGGCATAGCCTATGGCACAGCAATGGCTACCATGTGGAGGTGGGTTAGCTAAATGGAGAGGACAAGTCCTACAACAGGCTTTAGAGTTAACAAGATTCTGGCAGTTAAGTTTTACAAACTTAACTTTGGGGATCAGCTGGAGAATGAACTCACTGCTGAACTGAGATTAAGAACTGCATTTACACTATAGTTTTTAGTTTAGCAATCTGTTAAACTGTCTCTCCTTCCCTTGTAAGTGGACTGGTATCCTGACATGACAGCTTCACCTAGTTTTAAACATCATGTAAATCCCCCTCTTTTCTGCTGTTGGGTGTGTGCACGAGGCCGAAGAGCAGCACCAGGTATTTTCCTCAGGGGCTCTCCACCTTACTCGATGTCTGAGTACACCTGGTACCCATGGAGGTCAGAAGACAGAATCAGACCCCCTAGGAACAGAGCGGTGGACAGTTGTTAGACACCTTGTACATGCTTGGAATTGAACCTGGATCCTCTGCAAGATAAGTATTCTGAACCACCAAGTCATCTCTCCAGCACCACTCTGCCTTATTATTTATTTTGTCTTTTGTTTTTTGTTTGAGACAGGGTTACTCTGTGCAGCCCTGGCTGTCGTGGACTTCACTCTGTAGCCCAGGTGTGTACCTCTACCGCCTGGCTTCGTTTAATTTTTTGAGACAGGGTCTCATTTTGTCGCTCTGGCTGGCCTGGAACTTGCTTTGTAGACCAGGCCTGAAATTCACAAACACCTGCCTGCTTCTGCCTCCCCAGTGCTACAATTAGTATGCACCACCACATCTAGCTACCTCATTTTATATACGATTTTATTTTTTTAAATTATGTGGGGGCGGGCTGGAGAGATGGCTCAGAGGTTAAGAGCACACTGGCTGTTCTTCCTAAGGTCCTGAGTTCAGTTCCCAGCAACCATCTACAATAAGATCTGGTGCCCTCTTCTGGTCTGCAGGCACACATTAGGGAGAACATTGTATACATAATAAATAAATAAACCTTAAAAAAATTATGTGTGTGCACATGTGCCCACAGAGGTCAGAAGATCTCTAGAGGTGGAGTTACAGGTGGCTGTGTGGCACCTGAGGTGGGTGTTGGGAACTGAAGTAAGGCCTTCTGAGCTCATGAGCAGGGTCTCTCACTGCTTAGCGCTCAGCAACCAGGATAGACTGACTGGACAGTGAGCTCCAGGAACTTTTCTACCCAGCTCCCCAGCTCCAGAATTACAAAATCAAAAAGCTTCCCACCTCCCCTCAGTTTTTCAAGACAGGGTTTCTATGTGCAAAAGCCCTGGTTGTCCTGGAACTCACTTTGTAGACCAAGCTAGCTTCAAACTCACAGAGAGCTGCCTGCCCCTGCCTCCTGAGTGCTGGGATTGAAGACACGCACCACCACACCCAGCTTCCATGGAGATTAAGTCAGATTCTCATGCCTTGCCTGGCAATCCTGCTAGCTGTTCTTTGAGACAGTCTGGCTATCTAGACCAGGTTAGCATGGAAGCCACCGAGTTCTGGAACTACAGGCATATATTAACATGTTAGCAACTTGCTGTGGAGCCTTTTCCCTCAATATAATGATCCTAAGACTTATCCATGTTCAGCACAGTAGCATTCATTGTAGAGATAATAATTTATACTTTCTGCTGTAAGCAGGCATTACAAATGTTTCCTAGAGACAAAAAGTTTGCCATGAGCTATCTATCTATCCATCCATCATCTATGTTCAACTGAAAAAGTTATGTATTTTCAAACTAGTGTGTCAATTTACACTCCCAGACAGGACCAAGCAGTGTCTTTTATTCTAGCCACTTTACAAGGTGCTGGTATTCTCTTGTGGTTTTGATTTGAACTTCCTTGAGCACTGAGTTTAAACAACTTCTTATGAATACTGAGTAGGAATTTGGTACGCTCTTTTGTGATGTACCTATTTCTTAGTTCACCTTAGAAACTGAGCTCTATCTGCGTTTTTGAATATCTGGAGCACAAGTACACACGTGAGCACACTTTATCAGTTAATTGCATAGCAAACACTTCCACTCTAACTTGTCTTTTTCTTAATGTTGTCTTCTGAAGAACAGAAATCCTTAATTTTATTATACCACCATCAAATGTTTTTAATCCTCCCCCCACCCCCATTTAAGACGGTCTCACAGCTCTGTTCTGAGGATTCTCCTGTTTCTGCCTCCCATCTTGCTGTGGGAACACAGAGGTTATAGATAATGTGAGAGAGTCTTCATGGCTTTACATGGCTTCTGAGGAGCCAAAGGTCTTCAAGCTTTACCTACTGAGCCATGTCCTCGGCCTATCATCAGAATTCTTAAAAAGTAAGCCATGGCTGGAAATGGCTCCGTGGTTAGGAGCACTGGCTGCTCTGGCAGAGGACCTAGGTTCAGATCCCAGCACCTACATGGTTGGTGTTGACAACCATCTGTACCTCCAATTCCAGGGACTGTTTCCCTCTTCTGGCTTCCATGGGCATGCATGCATGTAGCACACAGACATACATGCAGATACACATAAAATAAAACAAAAACTAAGTATGTCAGATAAAGGCTAAAACAGCAACTGGAAGCCAGGGCCGCTCTGGTTATTGCACAGCTGAAGACAGAACTAGCCAAGGAGCGAGACTTAGCCACATAACAACACTCACAGGCTTGAGATGACAGACTCTATTGAACAAAGGTAGAAATCACCATGTAGAATGAGTTTGAGGCGAGCCTGGTCTACATGACAGGGGCCCTGAGTTAAAGCAAGTCTCCTTCCATGGTCCACCTCCATTATAGCCCTGGGCGCTTGGGCTGCTGCACTTTAGGTGCTCCCCAGTTCCTGGGCTCTGTAAATTTCCCGCTAGACCAGTGACTTCAAATTTTACTTAAAGGGAACTAAGAGATGGCTCAGCAGCCCAGAGGGCTTGCTCCTTTCCCAGAGCACAAGTCCCAGCATCCACATGGAGCATCTCACAGTTGCCTGTAACTCCAGCTCTGGAGACTCCAACCTCTCTTCCAGCCGCAAGCACCTGCACACAAATGTGCACGTAACACACACGTAAATAATACAGTAATAAAGAAATCTTGTACAACCTAACTTCCTGCAGCACACAGAACTGCTGCACCTTGGAAAGAGAACGGTGGGTGCGGCTGCACTTTTGAACATTTCACCTGAACAACCGCCGGGTGTTAAGAAAGGAAATTTTAGCCAGGCAGTGGTGGAGCTCTGTAGCACTCACTTTTAGAACTCTGCTTTACCTGGGGTGTTTGGGCCTCAACCCCACTTCCCACCTCCCAACCCTATGTGGGAGAGAGGTCAGTGGGGAGAGAAGGCCTTTTACTTTTCCCGGCTGGTTAGGGCCACTGGGTTCTTTTAGGGCTCTGTACCAATCTCTGTCAATGGCAGACGCAGCCAGCGGTCTTTATGCTGCTGCACTCTTGTTTCTCTCCGTGTCTGCTCTAAGCCACCACACCGTCTGTCTGTGGACTCTTCAAACTGCCACAGGCCAACACCACATGCCACAAACTCTCTTTTTTGCTCTTATACTCTCAGAGTCGACCACACCCCTCTCTGTGCTGCACGTGAAAGGCTGTTACCAATGGTAAAAGCCACACCCTGCACAGGACAATTAACAGGTGTGGACAAACTATTGCCCAATTAAAATCCCACACTTGGGATTAACACAAATGCACATTTACATAACTGTGTTTACAAAGAAACCAAAACTCCCATTCCAGCTCACATCCTTAATCCCAGCACTGAGGAGGAAGAGGCAGGAAGATGGCTGACTTCAAAGCCAGTCGAGGCTATACAAAGAAACCATGTTTCTAAAAACCAAAAATAAAGAAAATATGTAACAAGGCTGGCAAGAGGGCAGTGGTTAAAAGTGTCACATGTATACTGCTCAGCAGCCAGCACCCACACAGAACCCCACACAACCACCTCAACTCCAATTCCAGAGGGATCTGGCAACGCTAGCTTCTGCGGGCACCTGCATTCAATCACATAACTCCCCACACACACGTTAAAAGAATAATACAAATTTTAAGAATGCATAAAACCCAATAGAACTCATCAAGCTTGTGTGAACTCTTGTACCTTGTTGTCCATAATTGTCCACTGTCCCTCAGGATTCTGCTTCAAAACACAGTGGTTTCGAGAAATCATCAGAGGGCATATCTTTGATATCAGTTGGTATGTGACACCAAATCCCCGTCCTATAGTCACCTGGAAGAGAGGCCATGTAAGAGGCACAATCAGTCATTATGCTCTAAACGGAGCTTTTTACGATCTTACCAACCAGAAGCGTACAGGGTCCTGTCTTAGGAAACCAAACACCTGTGGAACCTCAACTGTTCATCTGCTGCCTTCCTCCTCCGCAGTTGCCACACTAAGCATCACACAGAAAAAGGCAAGAAGTTGTGATAAGAAGAGAACAGTTAAACATTAAGCATGAGGGGGGCAGCACGGACCGACACACATAGCCAGGCAATGGTGCTGCACATTTTCAGTCCCAGCACTTGGAAGGCAGAGGCAGAGGCAGAGGCAGTGGATCTAAGTTCAAGGATAGCCTGGTCTACAGGGCTACACAGGGAAACCCTGACTTACAAACAAACCACCAAACAACAACAAACAAACAACAGTTAGCCAGGGAGGTCAGGAGAGACAGCTCAGTAGTTAAGAGAACTGGGTTTCTTCCAGAAGGCCAGCTTTGTTTTCCCAAAGCCACACGATGGCTCATAACCATCAGAAGTCCAGTTGCAGGCAATCTGACGCCCTCTTTTGGTACAATATTATCTCTTCTACCCATACCCCCAAGCCAGGCACCAGACATACATGCAGCCAAAACAATCATCCACATAAAACAGTAATTAAAAATTAAAAAAAGCTAACACAAACTCTCAGGTAGCACAACCCTGAAAGTAAGATGGGGGCTTCTCCCCACACATCCCCATCAGCTCACCGGGGGCACTGCCTTTATACAGATGACAGGTCTGGAGTTTTAAATGGCCAATGAAGCATCTTTTTCTCTGTAAATTCCTCCAGCTGGCCCTGGTTTTGCCTAGGTACATCAGGGAATCTGCAATCCCCTTTGACCCATGGCTGTGAAGTATCTCCCAAGTCACCATTCCTGTCCTGAATCCCAGGATTCTACCTTAACTCCCAGGGCCTGAGTTTGCGTTTGTCATCTCAACAAGCCTGAGAGGATCCTGGTTTATCGTTACAGGTTTATCGTTGTTAGGTTAAGGAAAACAAATTTAAATTCTTCTACAACATCAAGATGTATCGCCTTCCCCGTGGTCAGCATGGTTACTGGCGTATGTGCAGCACTGGCTGTCACGGCTCCAGCACACTGCCAAGGCATCCTTGCGCTGAAGATGACTCTCTCTCTCTCTCTCTCTATATATATATATACATATTATTATTTTTTTTTTTTCGGTTGAGACAGTGCTTCTCTCTGTAGCCTTGAGTGTCCTGGACTCACTTTGTAGACCACTTTGTGGCCTGGAACTCAGGAAGATCCTCCTGCCTCTGTCTCCCTTAGTGCTGAGATTAACGGCATGCACCACCATGCCCGGCTGTATCTCCTTGTTTTTGGAGACAGGGTTTTTCTGCATAGCCTTGGCTGTCTTGGACTTACTTTGTAGATCAGGCTGGTATGAAAGGTGTGTGCTACCACGCCCAGCTATGACTACATTTCTTGATTCTTCCCTCCCCAAGGTTACTATGCTGTGTCTTTTTCTATAGTTGACAAAATGTGGGCTCTCTGTCAGTTTCCATCTTGTTAGTTCAGCCTGTCATGCTGTCCTTAGACTTTCATAAACTCTTTAATCTGTCATCAGCTAGACATAACTTTCCTTCTAGCTTTAGCCTCCTATAAAACTGATATGGCAGCTGATGTTGTATCTTCAGTCAAGATATACAAAAGACAAATTAAACACAATGGGGACTGGAGAGATGCTCAGTGGCTAAAAGCTCACAACTCCAAGTCCGATTCAATGTCCTCTTCCCGCAGGCACCTGTACACAGGGGTGTGCACTCTGCAGAGTCCAGTAAATCCTCTACCAACTAAATTCCTTGAGTCCTAGGTCCGAGGTCACCCACAAGAAAAGGCAGAAACAAAGCTCAGACTCCATCTATCACACTTCCTGGTACACCTGTCTAATCATAACCACGTGAGGGAAGGAAATGCTGTTCTTCTGAGACACGGGTCTTAGTCTCTTGATTATTTTCTGTGCGTGATGGTTTGACTGACTTAGCATGAAATATCCAAGGTTATGGTTTTCTTTTTTCCTGTTTGTTTGAGGCAGGGCCTCACTAGGGTCACCTTCATTGGCCTGGAGCTCACCATGTAGACCAGGCTGCCCTGGATGGTGCTGGGATTAAAGGCGTGCACAGTCTGTGGTTTTCTAAAGCCTGCCCTTCTTTCTTTCCTCCTCTGGAAACGTTCAGAAGCATATCGTCACAATCCTTAAAGACTACCATGTTGCTCTAGCCCAGCTTATTAATTGCTTATAAACTTTAGTAATGGACACAACCACTGAGTTAAATGCTCAGTCTAGAACACAGAAGCCACCTTTGATTTGTGTGTCCTTCATCCCCACATGGAAACTGTGAATAATTCTAGTAGCTGCAGTCATTTCTGCTCTAGGTCTCTTCACTCATCTTAGGTCACACTTCCTAGCTCGGTGCTTTCAGCTCCTCTCAGTCATTCTTCCCATAGCTGCTGAAGAGATAATACAAAACATTACATCAGATCACCTCTCTTCTCCAACACTCGCCATGACCTAAAGCGATCCACCACGCTCTAGCCTACCTGAGGGCCTTTTCACCGTGTACTCTCTGCCTAAAACATTCTTTCCTTGGACTTCTGCTGGTAAACATCTTTCTAGTCTCACCTCCTCAGGTGCCTACACTAATTCACTTCCCTAAAACTGGCCACCCACATTTCTTCATGTCAGCACATACTTACCACAGCCCTACCGTACCTTACTCAGCCCTCCACCTACCTCACTCCTCCTAGAGTATGAGTTTCACTGGCCACTGCATTTCTGACATGCTGCACAGCAGACACCTGGGAACACAGTGGCCTTGCCAGAACCATGTATGGGGAGACACACTTGTAATCCTAGTGCTTAGGACATGGAGACAGCGGAGGGGGAGGCGCGTGCCTGTAGGACAGCCCAGGTTCTAGAAGGTAGTATTTTCAGTCTTGTTTTCTATCAGAAGTTGGAAATTGGGAGCCAGCCACCAAGATGGCTCAGTGGGTGAAGGGACTTGCTACCAAGCCCGAGCTCCCGGTCTTGGCCCACCTGCAGGAGAGAGTGGCCTCCCTCAGGTTACCCTTACCTCTGCACACACACCACAGCATGTGTGTGCGCAACCACACTCACACGTTTGCACACACTGTTTTTTCAAATGGAGGAGGCCCGGGTGTGAGAACCAGCATGATGAGGAGGATTTGGAATTTAGGGATTATCTACTGTCCATATTCACAACAACTTCCATCTTTGGTAGCTGTTTTAGAGGAAGTACCCCACATTCCATTTGACACTTGAGGGGAAACAGTACTGAAAGGGAGAAGAGCATCTCGTTCTGAAACTGTCCCTGACTTAGAATTCAGAGAAAGAAAACTTCCTTTGTCACCCTCCCCTTCACTGTCCAGTCCTAGAATTCACACTGGTTCTATTTCAGGACCAGCGACGACCTAAGAACTCCCCACGGGAACTGCTCCACTTACAATCCTTTAGCAAGCTGACACTGATCTAGAGATCCGCTTGTTCTCATCCATCTTTACCAGCCCTGTCCTCCTCAGGAAGTTCTGTTTTTGAAATAACTAATAAACATCGTAGGACCATTCCTTCCCCTCTCCAACCCACTTAGGGCAGGGTCATGGAAGCCAAACACAAGAGAAGAAAACAAGCAAGCAAAAGGTAGCTTTTCTCTGCACTAAATCTCCACTCGTTTGTGCTTGCACCAAACTCTCTAGCTTGGGTTAGCAAGTTTAAAGACACCCACACACACATAGTTTACTAAAGGATTCCCTTTGATGCGATATGAGGACCCAATCAGGTTTTAACATTTTATCTGCAGGGCTGGAGAGATGGCTCAGCAGTTAAGAGCAATGTCTGTTCTTCCAGAGGTCCTGGGTTCAATTCCTGGCAACCACACGGTGGCTCACAACCATCTATACTGGGATTGTTGTCTTCTTCTGGCCTGCAGGTGTACCTGCAGATAGAGCACTCATATACATAAAATAAATACATGAATCTTAAAAAAAAAGGTTTTTCTCTGCCAACACTGGAGCTTTGAGGGGAACTAGAAAAGCAGGGAACTAACCTACCTTAGCTTTATGATTAGATGACACCAGCACAGCTCCCAAAACCTTAGACAAACAATTCTAACACCTGTACTATTATCCAAAACCACTGCAGTCAGACCTCATGCTGGCTTGGATTCAAACCCTGCCAACAAGCTGACTGTGCAGTCACCAGGCAGGTCAATCCTCACACTGTCTTCGGCATTCTCTTGGTTTCCAGGGGTCTCTCCCCACATGAATATGGTTCCACACAACTGTGCAGAACATGTTGAGGAGGGCTTTACAGCCCTGTTGCCCTTGCCACTCCAGGGCTGGCAAGCTGGCCAGAATAACAGATTCCACAGAACTGAGTAAGTCAACACTTGATTAAGTTTTCCTACAGGGTTGTGAGAGACGAGTGAATGTTCAGGGATCAGATTAAGTCCTGCAGATGAAAAAAACAAAAACAAAAACAAAAAAACCTTAGCAGGGCATGGTGGCGCATGCCTTTAATTCCAGTGCTCAAGGAGCCAGAGGCAGGTGGATCGCTGTGATTTCCTGGCCAGTCAGATCAACAAATCGAGCCCAGGACATTCAAGACTACACAAAGAAACCCTGTCTCAAAAAACCAAACCAAACCAAACCAACCAACCAACCAACCAAACTCTCATGTAAAAAATAACCCTCTTATGCCTATTAATTTAAAGCTGGACTTGCTCTAGAATATTGCCAGATAAGCCACACTTTGGCATGTTCTTGTTCCCAGGATCCTTCATTGTGCAAATTTTCTTCTGATTCAAGCCACAAACTCCTTTGTTCACTCCCCAATTGAGACCATACTGCTTATCAGAAAATCTAACCGTATCAATTCAATGATTTTAACTCACATGATACCTTTGTTGGGATTACTACTGTTGCAGTGAGACACCAAAAAGCAAGCTGGGGAGAAAAGGGTTTATTCAGCTTACACTTCCTTGTCACAGTGCATCGTCAAAGGAAGGCAGGACAGGAACTCCAATCGGCAGGAACCAGGCAGAGGCCAGGGAGTGCCGCTTACAGGCCTTTCTGATAGAACCCAGGACCACCGACCCAGGGCTAACAGCAGCCACAACGGTCATCAACCACTAATTAAGAAAATGCCTTACAGCTGGAGGCAGACTCTCAATTACGATTCCGTCCTCTCAGCTACCTCTAGTTTGTGTGCCAGGGGCTGACGTAAGACCAGCCTGCATACATGACCATTCAGTATTGCACAGACTTTCCAAAACGCAAAGGGCTCTGCGCTACAAGCTCATCCCCGATCTCAGTTCCCCTTCCAGAGCAGGCTGCCAGGATCCGCTCCCCAACCCCTACTCACAACCGTGCCTCCCCTTTCCTCTGTTTTTGTGGGGGTTTTTGTTTGTTTGTTTGTTTTTGTCCTTAATTTTGCACTCGTGGAGCTGAAGACACAGCTCACCTGGCAGAGTGCGTGCCTTCCAGGTATGAGGCCATGGGTCCGATCCCCAGCACCAGCCCGCAAGCCTGCGTTATCAAACACCGTGAACGGTTTCTGTTGAGAATGCTGACCGACTCTGACCCTCTTCTGGGATGCAACCGTAGCCCACCCCCACGCGCCAATTCTCCTCGGGGATTGAAGACTTTACTGTTTACATTAAAGTTCGAGGATTGTAGGCAAGCTACCCTTAAACGCGCCATCAAAATCAACTCCGGGCGCCCTCCGCGGCCATCCGGGCGTCCATCTTCAGGCTCGCGGAGCGGGTTCGCCATTCTTGGGGTCGGCAGGGGACGCCTCCGCCTCAGTTTCCCCGTCTGAGCTGGGTCACCGCAAGGCTCTGCGAGACCTAACGAGGACCGTGCCTACTCTCCGGCCCATCGTGTCCGTTAGGGCGGCTCGGGCCTCGCTCCCGCGCAGAAGCCTCCCAGCCCGGGCCTCAGGCCGCGGCCTCGCCTGGCCTCGCGGCCCGGTCCCGCCAGGCCCTGAGACGGCCGGCCCCCGCCGCCGCCTCGGCGCCTCCCCCGTAGGCCCGGGCGGCCTGGCGCCGCTCCCCAGCCTCCCCGCCTCCGCAGCCCGCCAGGCCGCCCGCCCTCACCTCGCGGCCGGCCTCCAGCTGCAGCCACTCGCCGTCCATCCCCAGGCGCCGCAAGCACCACGTCCGGCCGGCCGCGAGCTGCCCCGAGACCAAGGGGTCGGGCTCGCCCATGGCCCGCTCGGCACCGGGACGGCGCTCAGCAGCCGGCGAAACTCCGGCCCGGGCTCCTGCCGCCTCCGGGCCGCCTCTCCCCGACCATACCTGAGGACCAGGCAGAAGCAATCGCCCGGGAACCGGCGACGCGCCGGGGCGGAGCGCAGCGCGCGTGCGCGGCCGGAAGGGCGCAGGTGCGGACCCGGAGGGCGAGCGCAACGCCCGCCGCCGGCCCAGGCCCACCGTGGAAAGCGCCGGGCCGGCCAGGGCCACCGACTGAGGTTTGAATCCAAAAGAAGACTTAAAAAGTAAAGTCGCTGGCGACAAGAGTTCGATCCTCACGCTTCACCTACGTGGTGGCTGGAGAAAACCGACCCTTCAAATCGGCCTCTGACTTCCTCTTGCGCCCCGTGGCGGGTTTGTGTGTACACACGAATAAATACTTCATTTGAAGTTTATAATAGATAATAACAAGCCTGGCGCGGTGGCGCACGCCTTTAAACCCAGTACAGGTGGATCTCTGTGAGTTCGAGGCCAGCCAGGTCTACAAAGAGAAGCACTGTCTCGAAAAAACTGAAAAATAACAATAAGAAACACTGTTTCTCTTTCCTTGGGCTCATGAATATGATGTGACTATCTCCCAGGGCTTTCTGCCCCTCGGTCTCCAAAGCCACTACCCCAGGCCACCTCACCCCTTTTTTCTTTAGCAGGGTATGGTGGAGGAAGAAGTAGAAGGATGAGGAATTCAAGGTCATCCACCGCTATGCCTTGAGTTAGAGGCCAGCCTGGGATATGAGACCTGTCTACAAAATAAGCAAACAAAAGTTGCTTTATAACTGCATTCTGATGACGACCATGGCCATGTTATTTAACGCGGTAGCCTACTTTGGGTTGGGGGCGGGAGGTACTTCAGTCTGAACACGACCAAGAGAATGCCGAGGAGCGTACTCCGTAGCTCAATTATACCTGCACTCCATTAAAGCCCACCTTTCAGTAGCTTTTACAACTCCGATCATTTTTAAAGTTGGCTTTGGCTGTTTCTGCTTAGCATCTGTTTCTTGCATGACCTCATTTTGTTACTGAATTTTTAAAGGTTCTACCAGTCAAATCTGAAGACACAGATCACATTACCCCGGGCAACATGTGGGAGGACAGATTGAATGCCAATGGGCTTGAAGGAGCTGAGGAGAGGGTGGTATTTCAAATGTTCTAAAAGTGGTTTGTACAGCTGCACAAATGTAGGAATTTACGAAAAGCCGTTGACGTGTCCGTGTCAGTAAAATGACTACAGCAGTATGGAAATTATCCTCCGCACGATTGACAGTTAAGAGTGCTTGCTGCTCTCCCAGGGGACAAACTCCCAGCATGCGCTTTGGGAGGTTCACAACCACCTGTAATTCCAGCCTCAGGTAATCTGACGCCCTCTTCAGGCCTCCGAGGGCACCTGCACTTGTGTGCATAAAGACAGACACACATACACACAAAGTTTAAAAAGTAAAACCTTTAAAATCTCATTGATTCTTCAAAGTAGTGATTTTAAACTTTTTTTTCCAGCTGCATTCCCTGATCCCTTGCTGGGACGCTGGAATACTAAATTGAAGCTATGAACGACAGTGCCTTACCATGGCCTTCAGGGGTATGTGGTCCTGGGGAGCATGGATTGTGAACCACAGCGATTTGCGATCTTGGTATCTGCAAAGCTGGTTCAGGATGCTCTTCAGATATATATCAAGATCCATGCATGCTGGAGGTTTTTTGTTTGGTTGGTTTTTTAATGTGCATTAGTGTTTTGCCTGTTTATGTGTGAGGGTATCAGGTTCCCTGGAACTGAAGTCATAGGCAGTTGTGAGCTGCCATGTGGGTGCTGGGAACTGAACTCAGGTCCTCTAGAAAAACAGCCAACGCTCTTAACCACTGAGCCATCTCTCTAACCCCAAATATTCTTATTTGAAATGGCAGAACTGCTGGTTAAGAAACAGCTTAGTGGGTAAGTCATGTGCCACAAAAGCACCTGAGTCCGAGCCTCTGGAACCCATGTAAAGTAAACGCCAGCAGTGTGAGTGTGTATCTGTAACTTTCCTGTTCCTGTGTCAAGATGGGAAGCGGAGACGGAAGAACCCTCTCCCGTGGGGGCTTGAGAAGAACAACAACAAAGGTTTCAAGGTGAAAAGGTAGGGAGTGAGGTCTGAGGTTGTCTTCTGCTGCACACACACACACACACACACACACACACACACACACACACAAACGACTATAATCCCAGCATTTGGGGAGAGGTGGCAGCTTGGGATGCAAAGCAACTCTCTCAAAAAAAGTCAATAAGACAGGGCCTGCCAGATGACTCCGAAGGTGGAGGTTTTTGCCACCCGGTCTGACGACCTCAGTTTGATTCCCAAGACCAACCTAAGAAAGAACTGCAAACTGTCCTCTGGCCGCCACACTGTGGACCCCACATCCACGTAATAGGTAAACAAATGTAAAATGTTCAATGAATAAAATAAAATGTGGTATATTTACATACGCTCCACCCTTTTCCCTGTTATCCGTGTGTGGGAACACACTAGGACGGCTTGCAGGGGCCGGCTCCCTCGTCTCAGCACGCGCGTCCTGGGGTCTGAACTCAGGCTGCCAGCTGTGTGGTAGAAGGCGCCTTTACCACCGAGCCGCCGAGCCAGCTCTCTCATCTACTCCAGACCAGGGGTTCTCAACCTTCCTAACGCCGCGACCCTTTGGCCCTTTAATACAGTTCCTCACGGTGTGGCGACCTCCCACCAAAAAAACAAAACAAAACAAAACACCATCAAATTATTTTAGTTGCCATTTCATAACTGTAATTTCACTCCTGATATGAATCGCGACGCAAATGTTTTCTAACGGTCTCGGGCGACCCCTGTGAAAGGGTTGAGAACTGCTGCTTTAAACCGTCTAGTTGTTCCACCACAGCTGAGGGAATGATGACGGGGGGAAAAATGTCTGACATGTTCCATCTAAGCACAAACGTTCAGTCTGCCGTTGGCTAGACCCACAGGTACAGGCCCCACCCACAGGGGAGGCCAGCTGCCTCTGGTTGTAGCAGGATTCCGGGTAGGTGGACAACCTTCCGTTAGGCCGCGCCCTAAGCCCCACCCACTTCCTGCTTGGATCCCGGGAAGAGCTTGCTGGAGTCCTCTGTAGGCAGAGTGTAAACCTGCGAAGAGAGGTGGGAGAAGGTAGGCCGGCTTGACCGTGGGCCGGTCCCACGGTTGACATGCATTCCTGCTGCTCATATTTTTTAAGATTTATTTTGTCACTCAAAATCACACACGTCTGCACGTGTGTGCAGGTACCTGCTGAGGCCAGAAGCAGATGTCAGGTCCCCTGGAGCTGGAGTTACAGTCGTGGGCCACCCCAACACGCACGCTGGGAAGTCGGTTCCTCCTCAAGAGCAACAACATATGCCCTTAACCACCAGGCCATCTCTCCAGCCCCTGCTACTGGTATTTTATTGAAGGGAACTGGCCACGACCCCATCTAAGGAGGCTGGGAGTTGCGATCCCTGGCTAAGCAGCCAGCGTCACCTTCCCAGACTCTAGAACACAAGTCAGTGAACTGAGACAGAGACTGTGACAAAGCTTTGCGAAGGTGAGTTTTTAAACGTGTACCACAGGGTGCGCTCGGAAGTCAAAGGAGTCTCTTTTCCCCTCCACCATGCAGGTTCTAGGCATGAGGTTTGGCAGGGAGCACCGCTACCTCATCTCTCCAGCCTGAAGCTGTCTGGTTGTTTGCTGTTTATGTGCATGGGTGTGTTGCCCGTATGTCTGTGTTCCAATGGCATGCCGGATGCCCACAGGGGCCGGGAGAGGTCTTTGGATCCCCTGGAACTGGAGTTCCGGGGTTGCGAGGCACCCTGTGGCTGTTGGGAACCAAACCCATGCCCTCTGGAAGAGCAGCTCATCTTAATCGACATGCCGTTTCTCCAGGCGGCTGAAGTGGTTTTTGTTTGTTTTATTCTCTGCGGAGGCAGGGAGGTGGCTTCTGTGTGACCAGCTCCTTGACAGTATGATGGAGGCAACTGCAGCAGAGCGCGGTACAGGGACCGAAGAACCAGGTTGCATGAGTTCAAGTCCTAACCCTACTCTTTACTATCGGAGCTGAGGAAGCTGTTGGACTGCTCCAAGCCTCAGTTTCCCCACGTGTAAGACAGAGCAATGCTAATGACAGCACTCGCTTATGGAACTGTTTGGAGGATAAATTCTTACCAGACAGATGTTGCTCTCCTTGGCAAGTGCCTGATCACTGTTGAGTACCACTGCAGACTGGAGACGGTGCTTCTGTGCTGTATCTCCACTTTCATTTGATTTCTATTATTGTTGCTGTTATTATTATTATTGGTGCTGAGGATGAAACCAGAGTCTTGTGTACTCCAGGCAAGACTTAGCCACTGATCCACAGGCAAAACCCTCTCCTATGCTATTTCTACCGTCCGTTATCCAAGAGACACAAAAATACGGTGTTTTCCTCTCTTTAAGTTGGTAAAGTTATAAAGAGGTTCCTTCAGCTTTAGACTTTTATCTGTAAGCCACATCCAAGCAAGACATGTCTTTGAAAACCTAAACCAAACACTTCTCTTTGTGAGCAGGGGTGGCTCCGGGTTGGGCTACAGCTCCTCTAATGATGTGAACCACGATTTCCCCGCGTGGGGTTCAGGCAGGGTGACCCTAAGGCTCTTTCATCACCTCTTAAAAGACTGAGCTGGGCAAAAAGGAGTCTTGATGTAGTATTTCAAGGCAAGTCCTGCCTTTCTCCCTGTTCTCTCATCTGGGCTCACAAGCCGGCGAGGCAAGCCTGAATTTCTCTCTCCTGGAGCTACAGGCAGACACCTGGGGTTTGTGGATACTGGAGGGTGACTGCAGGTGAGGTCCCCGCCCCTCCCCTGTGATGAGCCAACCTTATGTGTGTCTGGTGGGAGCAGGGAGCTGGGACGGAGGCCCTGTGTTCTAGTTGGTTCTATCTTTTATCTAACTCTTTCATTCTACTATTCCTCTGCCGCCCCACCCCCAAAGGTAAGATTCAAGCTGAAATATAAGAAATACAGTCTGATGGTTCCTTTCAAAGGAACCCCATACCAGCCTAGGGCCAGCTAAAATCGAACAGACAGCACCAGATCCCTGCTAATGCCTGCTGCCCAAACTGCTAAACTACAACCCCTCCCCCCAACTCCGCCCACACTGGAAGTGTGCATTGGAAAATTACTAAGAGTCAAGCTTGTCGTGCTTCTGACAAGCTTGAAAATGAACAGGGGGTGAAACAGAGATGAACCCACTCACAATTACTCTGGAGAAAAAGACCCAGGTAAGCAGCAAAAATAAAGTTAGGACCTAGATGACATAAAAGATTGTCCCTCCCGATTGCTCAGTTATGGGGGAAGGGAAGGATCAGCTCTCCACAGGGTTGGTAAACTCTCCTCCACACCTCACGAATGTGCCTCGAGTCCTATGCTGACAGTCACAAACCATTTTGCTTTGTCTGCTCTCACTTTACCAGCTCTCGTTCTGAAGTGTTCTGAAGCGAGGGTCAATGCTTCTCAGATGATGCCATCAGGAAGGGATGCCTTGGGCTTCAAGAGGGAACTGTTTTAGTAATTTACTTACTTGAGACCAAGATCGGAGTCTCCGGTAACTCAAGCTCGCCTTCCGATTCCGTAGGTAGCTGAGGATAGCCTTGAACTTCTGACCCCGCAGCCTCCTCCCCTAAGTGCTAGGCCTGCAGCCACCATCTCTGGTTTATACTGGACTGGGCTTTGCGCTTGGCAGGTAAGCATTCTGCCAGCTGAGCCTTGGGAGGAAATGTCTCAGAAAACCAGGGGCTGGGGATGGGGCTCTGCTTTGGACAACTTAACGCTGTTTTATGTATTCAGAGTTGTAGCATATTTCTGACGCCTTTAATCAAGCTTATTTGATAAGTGCTTAGCAGTCATCAGGTATCTTGTCTTCTAGAGGTATCTGTAATCAGTAATTCAGGTGGATATTTTGGAAGTACTCAAAAAACAAAAGAAAACAATGCCTGATCCTGGAGCTGGACTTGCAGGCAGTTGTGAGCCGCCACATGGATGTTGGGAACTGAACCCAGGTCCTCTGCAAGAGGAGTAAGGGCTCTTAACCACTGAGCCATCTCTCCAGCCCCTGCTTTCAACAGTTTTCAAGTCGCAGTCAAAATACTTCAGGAGACACTCAATTGTCTCCATAAATGAAAACCGGAGCTTTTGAATGAATACACACTAGTTAAAATGAGCTACTTTAACCATCTGGATTACTTGGGTAAATTATATCAAGCAGAGAAAATACCCAGTATCCACGGTTTACAGCAAATATTAAACTCTGATTTTAAAGTCAGTTGAGTCAATGTTAAATTACCTTCATGTGGTTCTGATAAAGTCTACTTGCAAACACCTTTTTGTTGTTGTTTTGTTTTTGGAAACAGGTTTCCTCCTTGTAGCCATGGTCACCCGGGAACTCACTCTGTAGACCAGGGAGGCGGAACTCAGACATCTGAGGCGTGCACCAACACCTGCCCGCCACAAACCTTGTAATTGAATCCTGATACCTGTTTTTCCCTGTCCTCCACTGTAGCAGACCCACTAGCTAGGCAGATGGCTGTCTCTAGAAGGCTAATCCTCCAGCCTCCCTGTGACTCCATTCTGCTGTCTGGGGCAGCAAGACACTGCAAGTATGCTTTTATTTCCCCTCTTTAACACATTCTGTTGCTTGAAAAATAAAGTGTTAGCTAGGCCAGGTGGGGGTGGCAGCGCACGCCTTTAATCCCAGCACTCGGGAGGCAGAGGCAGTCGGACGTCTGTGAGTTCGAGGCCAGCCTGGTTGACAGAGGGAGTTCCAGGACAGCCAGGGCTCCACAGAGAAACCCTGTCTCAACCATCCAATAAACAAACAAACAAAGAATAAAGTGTTAACTACAATTTTTCTCTGTTGTACGCCGTGTGTGTGCACACACGCTCGCGTGCCTTCAGTGACTGACCGGAAGCGAGGGATGGGCCCCTTGAGCGGGAATTTGAGGCAGTTACCAGCTGCATGATGTGGGTGCTGGTCTCCCAGATGAACAAACACTTTTAACTACTGAGTCATAGCTCAGCCCCAACTCTCTGCCATCTGGAATATGAAGACACAGAGAAGTACTTCTTCCTATGGACTTCAAAACAGAGTGCCCCTGAGCTGCCAACTTGGGGATGCTGTGTGAAGGAGTAGGAAATGTTTATTCCTAACACACAGCTCCTAATGACAGCAAACAAGAAACGCTATTTTTTGGGGGTAACAACATTCGTGTTCTGCCTCCAGGTATGTCTGTGCGAAGGTGTCAGATGCCCTGGAACTGGAATTACAGACAGCTGTGAGCTGCCCTGTGGGTGTCAGGTCCTTTGGGAGGCTAGCCAGTGCTCTTAACTGCTGAGCCATCTCTCTAGCCCTCGAGAAATACTCTTTGAGACAGGGTTTCTCTGTGTAACAGAGCCCTTGCTGTCCTGGACTTACTTGGTAGACCAGGCTAGCCTTTAACTCCGAGATCTGCCTGTCTCTGTTGCTCAAATTCTGGGTTTAACGGTGTGCGCCACTGTTGCCGGCTCCAGGAAACTCTTAAGTAGAATCTAGGCAGTCATTTTGGAGTAGAGACATAACTGCAGTCTGTCCTTTGCAGAGGAAAACACAGGCCAAGAAACTCTCCTGAGACATTTCACAGCGGAGTTCCCAGTAACAAAGCGGCCCGGAGCTGGAGAGGAGGCTCCGGGATAAAAGAGTGCTCCCAACTGCTCCATGCTCACTGCTCCTCCCCCACCAGACCCCCCTCACTTCCCAGCAGGCACAAGCACCTGTCATCTCAGCTCCAGGGGATCCGATGCCCTCTTTTGGCTTCAGCTGGCACTTACACGCCATGTGGCACACATACAGAGATACAAACATAAAAACGAATAAAAATGTAAAGAGTGAAGCCATGGCCAATGACCAGCAAGTCCTAACAAAGACAGGCTGTCAGTGGCCAGCGAGGGACAGGCTCAGTCCCCCACACACCTTCTCTATGGCGTGGCTGGAGCCTGGCAAACCGGGTGGAAGCCCGCATGCTGCCCTGCCCCCTCTGCTGTCCTTGGCTCTGGGCTGGAGCTTCCTCTGTGAACAGCATTGGTGGAATCTCAGCATCTGGGAGGCTTCAGACTGGAGGGCCAGGAGTTCAGGGCCACCCTCAGCTATTTAGTAGGCCTGAAGCCAGGCTGGGTTACAAAAGGCACTGTCTCATTCAAAACCAAGCGATGAAGGAATTAAGCCAGCTGTTTTCTGCCCAAGTCCTAACCAGGTCAGATGACTGGGCTGGGGAGTTCAGGAGGTAGGGCCACAGACCCAGCTGGCTCGGAAGTCCTTTATGGCATGGGCATGTGAAATAATCCATATAAAGGCTTTGTCACAGGGCTGGCACATGACCCCTGACACCAGGGGCTTTGCCAGACGCCAGCTGAGCAAACAGGTCACTTTGCAGTCTCCTGCCCAGAGGAGGGACTGAGCCTTTGCTCATGTCCCCTGGGAATGCTGCTTGTCGTATACAAGGCCTGACCCCGTTCCGTTTTGAAGATTTTATTTCCATGTGTCTGCCTGCCTGCCTGCCTGCCTCTGTGAGTGTATGCCATATGCATACAGAGCTTGCAGAGGCTGGAGTTACAGGCAGTTGCGAGTCGCCTGAAGGGGGTGCCGGGAAGTACAGCAGGCACTCCTAACCACCGAGCCATTTCTGCAGCCCCTGACCCCCTCCATACCAGCCAGAAAACGCCAGGGGAAAAAAAAAATCATTCCAGGTTATGTGAACTCGTAAGACAAAAGCTCATGACGGAGGAGAAAACACCGTTTATTTACAGTCCGTTCACTTTATCCACAATTTCCCATACAAACATAAAACTAAAAAAATAAAACCACCACTTGGGAACACAAGTGTCTTTCTTTAATCAGTCTGTGTGAGGGAGGGTCCCGAGTCCTCTCCTCTGTGAAGGAGGCTACTGAGGCACACGGAGGGATGGCGGGGGATGGGAAGAACGCCTGAGAAACATCTTGGCTGAGGGGCCTAACTCACCGAGTGAGGCGTGGCCGGGTGGGGTGTGGCCTGTGGTGGAGTGACTGACACACACGGGCAAGTGAGCTCAAGGTGGCACCTGGGAACACTGCCTGGCTTCCCAAGAGGGCCGTGGCTATGGCCTCCACCCTCCTCTCTCTACTACCAAACAGCAGACAGCTCAGAGCTGTGGGGAGTGAGGCGGTGACAGCAGGGGACACCCGGTGCCGCTTTCTGGAAAGGCCCCCAATCTTGGGGACACAGGGGACCCCCTCTTGGTGCTGACTTGTCAGCCAGCTCTGTCCTGACCACAGTGCTGACTTCCTACCAGGGAAGACAGAGGCTGGGGCCGCAAAACCTGAGGAGGCCTTCCGGCCCTGCAGTCCTTCCTGGGAGGCAGCTGGGGTGAGGGCAGAGGAGCTCAGTGAGCAGTGGAAAGGGAAGGACAGGCAGGAGCCCACCAAGGCCCGGGGAGGGGCGGGAGGAGAGCGGAAGCCAGGAAGGCTGAGACACTGATTCCGGACACATCGCTCCTCTGCGGCCACCGCCTCCAGATGGCTCCCAGGTCCCTCCCTGAAGCTACCCGCCCAGCAACTTCATCCTGTGCTAATGACTAGATTGCTTTCACATGTCAACGCACACTATAAATATAAAATCATATCTGCTACAAAGAAGACATAGATTTGTACACCTTTACCATATACATAATAACACAATTTATACATAATATCTTGGAGTGGTTCCCCCTGGAAAAGGGTTCAAAGAGGTGGTTTAAAAAAAAACAACAACAAAACGGAACAACCCTCTTTTTCCATCCCTTGCCCTGTTCTCTCTCAAGGGACCATCAAATGCTTGGTCCCTGGGGTCCTTCCTGACTGGTTCTGATGGGTTAGTCTGGATACAAATTCAGACATGTGACAAAATGCTGATGGGCTTGTACACACACACACACACACACACACACACACACACACACACACACACACCAGAGGGGGGCAGATAACAGAGGAGGCAAGGGCAGATGCGGTTCCTAGCCCTGGAGTGTAGGCCTCTCCTCAGAGTTGTGAGCATGGCCTGTCCTCCACCTGAGAGGGAAGGGCTCACTCACTGTGTCACTGGCTCAGCTGGGGCAGGAGGAGCAACGGAAATGAGGGGAAGAAAAGGGGGCCGGGAGCCTGCTGGAAACAGAATGTCTCTGACCTGTGACCAGATCAAACTGAGTCACAGAAAGCAACAGCATTAGAGCCTAATATCCCCTGCCTTGGGCCTATTAGAAAATTTGTGGTTCTCTTGTTTGAAAAAGGAAAGTAAAAGAAAACAGCACCAGCTGGTTCCTGGCAGAGCCAGCAGGTGCGCGTAGGGATGGTGTGGGGCAGGCCCGGAGCCTCCCCTTCTTTTGTCCAGTGTCTCCTGGAGTCCCCTCCCTGAGCCCGGCCCCCACACACGGCACAGAATACTGACAGTGGTCCCAGACACACATCCCGAGACACAAAGTGGCGGATGCTGTGAAGTTAAGACCTGGGTGGCAGAGGCGGCGGGCGAGCTTTGTACAGCAGGAGTGGTTCCTGGCCGGGGTCCACGGCTTGCACGGTGGCCACAGTGATGAAATCGCCATCAGAGATGGGGGCGGTCCGGGTCCCCAGGGGAGACAGCACCTATCGGCGGTAGTGGTTGGGGGCATCGGCAAACATGTACTTGAGTCTGTAGGCCTCGGCCAGCAGCAGCCCGATCTCCTCGTTGCCCCAGTGGATGGTAGGCAGGTTCTGCAGCAGCATGAGGAGGCCCTGCGAGGCAAGGACGGCCCTTCACGACTGCAGTCTGGGGCTGGGCCACACTGGCCCTCAGGCCCAGCCTTCTGCTCCTGAACACCTGGGCCTTGTTCAGTGCACAGAGTCTGAAAACCCTCAGTCTCAGCACACTAACTCCTGCCTCTCCACATACTGAGGGCGGAGAATGCAGAGAAACAAAAAACTGTTTCTCAGTTGCCCTTTGTTGGTTTGCTTTTTTCTTCCAGATTTCACTTGCTTATTTTTTATTTTTGTTTTTTGAGACGGGGTTTCTCTGTGTAGCCCTGGCTGTCCTGGAACTCATTCTGTAGACCAGGCTGGCCTTGAACTCAAATGTGGTAGTGTATGCCTTTAGTCCCTCAGGCAGATCTGCCTACCTCTGCCTCCTGAGTGCTGGGATTAAAGGTTCGTGCCACCACTGCCCAGCGGGATTTCATTTATTTATTTATTTTTGGTTATTCAGAACTTCGGTATTCGTTCTTATCCTTCTGATTATAGGAAGAATCGCTCTGGGCTGGGCAGAGGTCGGTTGGTAAAGCACTCCCTCAGAAGCAGGAGCCCCCCGGGTGTGAACCCAGCACCGGGGAAGCTGTTCCTGGTGGCTAGTGCTTATGCTCCCAGCACTGGAGGAGGAAGACACAGCATGACCCCTGGAGCTTGCTGGCCAACCAGCCCAAATGATGAGCCCCAGTTCTCAAGGAGAGAGCCTGCCTCAAGAAACAAGATGAGCTGGAGACACAAAGGCACTTGCTAGTCTCCAAGAGGATCTGGGTTCGAATCCCAGCACCCCCAGTAACCACATGGGGGCTTAAAACCCTTTAACTCCAGTTACAGGGGCTCCAACGTCCTCTTCTGGCACCAACAGGCACCAGGCACACATGTGGTGCACAGACAAACATGCAAAATAATACATTTAAAGACCAGAAGTTAAGCCAAGGGAGGTAGTGCATGCCTTTAGTCCCTCGGCAGATCTCTGTGAGTTCCAGGCCGGCCTGCTCTACACAGCAGGTTCCACAGCGAGCTCCGGGACAGCCCAGGCTACAGAAAGAGACCTGGTTTGAAAATCTTTAGGCTTGTTTACACTCTGTGGGATGCACTGTGGGTAGAGCATGGAGGCCAGAGGGCAACCGGAGGAGCTCTCCTTCTACCGAGTGCGTTCCAGAGTGCGAACTGGGTGTCAGCCTTGGCAGCAGGCTCCTTCACCCACTGAGCCATCTCACTGGCCTCTTCCACACCCGCTCTTACAGAAAATTCCAGTATTTCCATAAAGATCCCATGATTCTTCGCTGAGAAACAGAAACAACCAACAGTGGGAGTGGCCCCACTGGGGAGGAGGGCGCCACTTCCGGTACGGAGCCACGCCTGACTTCTAACCCTAGCTTTAGTAGACACTTTCCAGAAGCTTCTGAATAAATTCTGTCCCTGGTCAAGCTCCTCCCTCCTCCCTCCTCTCTCACAGGAAGAGGATTGGCTGTGAGGAGCCGCTCTGCCACCTGGTGCCAGAGACTGGAACTGCAGCTTCCCACCTCTCCCTGCTCCCCCAAAATTAGAAAAGTCTTCAGATAAAGATGGAGAAAGCAAATAACCACGGCCAAGGGGCAGAGGCGCTGGTCCCAAGTCAGGTGCACTTAGCAGGGGGAGGGACTGAAGATTTCTACAAAGCAGTTCCTCAGGAGTAAGCAGGGTACCTACTCAGGTGAAAGAGCTGCCTGTAAGGCAAGCACTAGAGGGAAGCCCGCAGCCGCCTTTCGGAGAACATTTGGAGGGCCAAGGATGCAGAACAGGGCCTGGCTCTGGCGCCTGCTGGAAGCCAGGCATCTCCGAGGAAAGGGAACAGCGCAGAAAAGAAACTGCCGCCACAAATGAGGAGGCCAAAGGAGGGGGCACTGGCTGCTCCTGCGATGGACCCTAGTATGGGTCCCAGCACCCACATGGTGGCTGATGATCTGCAAGTCCAGCTCCAGGGGCTCTGATGCTCTTTAGGACACGACAGGCACCGGGTACACGTGGTGTATACACACGTGGTGCATACATACGTGCCGGCAACACACACACACACACACACACACACACACACACACACACACACACACTAAAGAAACCAAACAAAAAATTTGAAAATAATAAAATCTTGCCGCCGGGCAGTGGTGGAGCACACCTTTAATCCCAGCACTCAGCAGGCAGAAGCAGGCCGGTCTCTGAGTTCGAGGCCAGCCTGGTCTTCAAAAAGAATTCCAGGATAGCTAGGGCTACACAGAGAAACTCTCACTTGCAAAACCAAAATCATCACCAGCACCATCATCACCAGCATCTTTTTCCTTTCTTCTTCCTTCCTTTCCTTTCCTTTCCTTCCTTCCTTCCTTTTTCTTGTTTCGTTTTTTGTTTGTTTTGTTGTTTTTAGAGACAGGGTTTCTCTGTGTAGCCTTGGCTGTCCTGGACTTGCTTTGTAGACCAGGCTGGCCTCAAACTCACAGCGATCCGCCTGCCTCTTCCTCCCCTAGCGCTGGGATCACAGGTGTGCGCCCAGCCACCACCATCTTTTTTAAAAAGGAATTCATGGCAAATGGATTAAAAAGGTGGCAGAACTGTATGTGGTTAAAGAAGACACCGTGTGTAGACTCACTCTGCAATGTCCACATGTTCTTTGCGGATGTCAAGCGTCGCAGCCTCCTGATCAGGTAAGCACACAGTAACATGTGTCTACCCGACAGAGTAATCTTCCAAAGCTCCGTCCTCGCTGCAAACTTCCTGAGAGCCAAACAACTCACGGGTTCTACCTGGTGCGGGCACGAATCTCCTGGGGGCTTCGGGGGTTTTCCTTACTGGCTGCTCCTTGCTGACGTGTCTACGAGCTTTGGCCTTTCTCACAATCCTCTGAGGATTTAAACTGGCACTTCGCCAAATGTCTGAGTATGCCTGCGCTTAGACAACAGTCTGCAACTGTACCCTTGGTCAAGGATGGGTTTATTTACATGCACCTATGTAAGCATACATGTCAAGCTGGGGCCTTTGACATCCTATCACCTTGTACTACTGCACTTAACAGATCTGACCAGCCCAAGCCTGATGGCATAGCTACAGTTCTGCATGTTGGGGGGGGGGGGGGGGGGGGGGGGGGGGGGGGGCTGGGGTAGAAGTCGGAGGCTAAGAAGTCAAAGGTCATCTATGGCTACATAGTCAGTTTGAGGCCAGCCTGGGCAACATGAGACCCTATAACCAAACAAATAAGTAGCCAAACCTCAATTCTTGGTGAAGAGCGCTGCCTGCTCTTCCAGAGGCCCTGAGTTCAATTCCCAGCAACTACATAGTGGCTCACAACCATCTGTAATGAGATCTGGTGCCCTCTTCTAGAATGCAGGTGTACATGCAGACAGGGCACTGACACACTAAATAAATGAACTCTTTAAAGACCAAAACACTCAACTCTTTCTCCTGTTAGAGGCGCACCATGGAGTGGGCATCTCCAGAGCTCAGGGGAGAATCAAAGCCTCCGAGACCGCCTGACTCGGCAGCCCCTGCCGCCAATGCTGATTCTCTTTTACGTGCATTTAAAGGGGCTCTGACCCCTAGGCCTTGGGCCCTGGGCTCGTGCTTCTCTTTATCAGCTTCCAGCAACTGAGGCCCTGACACATCCTTGGGTTTACAAGACGGTTTACACCACAGAGTGCGCAGCCCCTGCCGGGGTACAGGTGAGGTCTGAGCTCAGTGCTTGTCAGCGAGCTCCTGGTTCTCTGTTTGGGAGAGCTGTTTGCCAGAGTGCCCACAGTCTGGGGCTGTGCCCTCCTGCCCCAGTAGCTGGCCCATGCCCAGCTTCGGTAAGGCATAGCGGCACAGCCTCAGGAGACCTGTCAGTTTCCCAGGGCACAGAGCCCAGGGCTTCCTATCCAGGGTTAATATCAATTACTTTTAGACTCTTCCCCAACCCTACAACCTGCCTTGATGGTGTATTCTGCCACAGGGTCAGGAACAGAAACAATGGACTACAGTGAGCTAACCCCTTGGCTCTCCCAGCCTCGTGTACTGATCCAGGGTTAGCCTTGGCTCAGGAGACCTGAAATCCATCCTAACCCTGTGGGATTTGTCCCTAACAGTGGAGTCTGACTCCCTGATGGGTTAGGACCAAAAGTCGCCCCCACTTCCATCCCCAAAAAGCGAGCAGTGCAGGTCAGGCCTGAGAGAGGTGAGGGAAGGGGTAGAAATTCCCGTCTTCCCACAACACAGTTCCTACGGTAGGGCACTTGCCTAGCAAGTGAGGCCTACGCTTAATTCCCAACACTGCATAAGCAAACTCTCCATAATGCATACACGGCTCCCTTCTCTCCTCCTCCCCTGACCTTCCCCTCTCACTCGCACAGAGCCTTCACGCCTCCATGTTCTCAGCCAGAACACAGTGCCTTCGCACCGCCCGTGTCCTGCTGATGTCTGTGTGGCTGGCTGGGGTTGTACAGACTGCTTCTCTGTTTGGCAAACACCTGGGCAGTTCGGTCTGGGGCGAGTTCGGGTCAGGGCTTGCTGTCCGGAGGCTTTCTGTCAGTAGGGAGTGAACATTTCGGCCCTCACAGACTCCTGCGCAGTCCTCCCCCTAAGGGGCCCCTTGCTTAGCTGCTTCTTCTGGGACCTGCACTGGCACCCAGAGGGCTTCCCGGGCCACCGACTGCCAACCCAGACACCCTGTACTTCTAGGGCTCAGGCCTGGCACGCCAGGCTCCACCTGCTACTGCAGGTGGCAATTATGACATCTTAACTGCTGAGCCACCTCCCCATTCTCCCCTCAACCAAAGGCTTCTGGGACTACAGTGTGTACCGCCACACCCAGCCTGACATTTCAAATTCAACATTCTCTCCCTCCACACGACCCCTGCAGCCGCCACGCAGGAGTCACCCTAGTCTGTCTCTCTGTCAGAGTCTACACCCAGCCCTTCAGAGAATCCCAAGCTCTTCTTACACGGTCTACAGCCAGCCCATCCAAACGCCTAAGCTCTGCTTACAAAAGACCTCAGAAACACGGCCACTTACACCTCCCTATCATCACCCACGACCACGTGCTCCCTGGAGAACTCGGCAGTGTCCTGGGTGGCCGCTGTGTCCACACTCCCCACATCAGGAAGCTATACAGAAGCCGGTCTTTAAGATCATACCCAGTCCGTGCCTAAGGCCCTCCGGGAACAGCCAGGGTGCTCACAGCCAAGTCCTTCCTGGTGTCTCTGACTTAGCTTGCCCTGCTCTTCCATTGGGACCCTGCTTCAGGCCTCACTTCAGAATCTCTTAACCAGCTGGGCGCGAGGCTGATTTAAAGCCTCTACACTGGCCAGCCCTTCCTCCCTAGTGGCAACACAATTTGCTCCCTTACCCTCCTCAGGCCTTTGCTTAGATGTCGCCCTCTTGGTGAACTTATTCTGACCGCTTTGTTTGAAACCTCAGTCTCACCTCCCTGCTGCCAAGGATCCACTGCCCTACTGGGCCTCTGCAGCGATGTGCACTTTTCTACCCCTGCATCTCTGCAAGCTCCCTGCGCTCTGTCTACTGCCTGTCTTCCTTCAGCACGTGAGCAGTGAGAACAGCCCTCTGCCAGCTTCACTTCCGGGATGTCCTGTGCCCCCACGGTGACTCACGGGGCACGCCTATAATCAACACTTGTCAATTAATGAGCGAGCGTGCGGGCACCCTGCAGCGCTTTCGGCACAGAGATCCTTCGCACTGAGAAGATCCGGGGCCCCAGTGACATCCTGTCAACGGGAGAGCAGGCTCTCCTGGGAACCCTCTCCCTTCCACCCACTCCCAGCCAAGCATGCGCAGCAAGCACTCGCTCCCTGAGGCCGCTCACCTGAAAGTCTTCCTCATCCAAAATCTCCTTCCTCCACTTGATCAAGAAGGCTGCGCACACATAGAGATGGAAGTGCGAGAACCCTTCTGGCTCAGACTGGGGAAGGAAACCAGAGTCAGGCAGGCCTCTGAGGCCCAGCTGCGGGCCTCTCACCTCCAAGCCACCTGGAAGGTGGAAAACCCAGGCCAGCACCTGGTACGTGATGCGGCCAACGGGAGATTTTCGAAGGCCGGGGCAGACCCAGGACGGAAGGCGGTGCAGTGCAGGGGGAACGGGGAGAGGCGGGGGGGGGGGGGGGGGAGGGGGGAAGGGGGGGGGGGGGGGGGGAGAGGCGGGGTCCCCATACCTGGTACGTGTCCCACAGGCGGATGGTGCAGCGCAGCGGAAGCTCCCGCATCAGCAGGTTGTTCATCCACCGGAAGGCGAACTGCAGGTACTCCACCTCATACCTCCTGAAGTGACTGTGTACCTGCTCTGAAAGGGACTCGAGGTCAGGAGCCACCGGCAGGCCTCAGGAGCCTGGGGCAGGTTCTGCTTCTTACCAGCCCTGGCCACTGTGGGCTGACCCTCTACCTCTCATCTCAGTGCTGCTCACGGCTGACGTCAGCACACAGCATGACCACCATCCCCCAGGCCATTCCTGGGTGCCCTCTGCCATCCTGGGGCTGCTCTGGCTATGAAGCAAGACAGTACTTGGCTACTGGGCCTAACAGGGCAGGGCCAGAATGGAAAGGAACCGAACCCTGGAGGCCACCTTGACCATCTCCCTTCAACAGAGCTGGCTTCTTCGGTGTGCGAGAAGACTCACCAGCACATTCTTCTGCATATTCAGTAGAAACCAGCTGACCCCTGCCACTTCTGCCCACGAGCCTAGGCAGTATCCGAGGAACTTAAAGCCTGCCCCCTGTCCTACACGGAGGCTTTGAGAATAACGCCTGACAGGTGGAGGTTTTGGGATTTATTTGTATCGTTTTGCGTCTGCATGTGGCTGTGTGCATGTGAGCAAGTCACCTTCCCAGGAGTTGCTAACCACTGTGGGCCTCCTCAGGTGGGTCCTCCGGAAGAGCAGCGAGTGCTTGTAACCAATAAGCCATCTCTCCAGCCCCACTGATAGGACGGTTTAAAATCACTGTCTTCTCATTTATGAAAGGGGATAATCTGAGGCCGGCAAGACGACTCATGATCTGCCATTAAGCCCTCTGACCTGGTCCCTGGAACCCAGTCAATGGAAAGAGATACTCTTGCCTTGTCCTGACTCCCCTTCCGTGTGCCAGCACGTTTCAAAGCCCTCACATTTCAGAGGGCTTTGGGAGGAAAAAATGAGAAGGCTCGGGCAAGCTGTATGATAGCGCCTGACGTCAGGAGAGGCTAACAACAGTCACTCAGGAGACCAGACTTTAAGGTGGGGGCACAGAACAGCTCATGGGGTTATTGCTGTTGCAGTCTTAAGTTTTTGTAGTGAGAAAGTATATAAAAAACGAGAATGCGGTTCACTTATTTATTGTGTGTGTGTTTGTGTGTGTGTGGGGTGTGGTCTTGTGGAGGTCAGAGGACAACTTGCAGTGGTCTGTTCTCTCCATCTACCATGAGGATCAGGTTGTCAGGCTTTGGCCGCAAGCACTCTTAGCCCAGTGAACCTTAAAACCTCCCTATTTTTAATCTCCAGGCCTTTATTTACCTGGGCCAGGAAACTGAAAAAAAGGTAGACAGCAGCAGAAAGCACTGACTGTACCCTCTGGAATCCAACTGATGACCAGCCCTGGGAGCCATTCAGTTCCTCAAAGGAGGACAGCATGCGCCCCACACACGCTCAGGGCCGTGAGACCCAGAGGGGAAGCCCTCCATTTGCCACTCACAGAGCATGACCGTGAGCGGCGGGCGCTCAGAGGTGAGCACCGAGGTCCCAGTCGTGGGAAGAGGGAGGGAGCGAGACAAACCAAGGATGTTTCCAGGAGCGAGAGAACCGGGAAAGGAGTGAGAAAGACACATGACTGTGCAGGGGACGAAGGGATGGAGTAGGAAGTCCAACAGCAGAGCGGGAGGTGACTCTGGTGCGGCCACTGGCAGACAGGGAACCCACCCCAAGGAGCACGCTGCAGGGAGAGTAGCCTCTCATGCCCTCTGTCTGTCTCTCTGGCCACAGCATCCTTGTCACCAGGGCCTTCTAAGGCGTCTCCCTGGCCAGAGCCAGGAAGATCCACTCCTGTCAGCACCTGCTCTCCCAGGGAGCTGTGCTGGGGTTCTCCAGCCCATTCGTGTCCCAGCCGGGGGTGGGGGTGGCGCTGGGATGCCAGCCAGACTTGGGGAGCCTGCATCGAGCCTAGGCGACCATTGTCTTATGGTGACGAACAGGGCTGGCCCTCAACCTGGATGCCAAAGGCAGAGGGAAGCCACTGGTGGCTCCAGAAAGGGAAGGGGGGCATGGACACAACACTGCTGAGGAAAACCATCACGTGAGGACGGTCTGAAAGAGGGGCAGGTGAGCGCATGCAAGTCCTTCCAGGAGAGGGTAGAGCAAACAGCAGGACCAGCGCAGCAGGCCGGGACGGGAGGGAGGTGACTAGGGCAGAGCTGTGGGGCCACTGAGACCCTGGTGACAGAGCAAGGTGGAGACACCTTGGGTCAGCAGCAGGGCTTTAGCCTTCCTGGGGAGCCCTGAAGACAGTGCTGCCTAGGACAGGCTGGGAAGGGATGGACAGGGCCACGCTGGGCTGCAGCTAGAGAAGTCTTGTCCCCTCAACCTACCATCGATCCGGCTGACAAGCTCCTCCAGGGCCTTGACCTTCTTCTGGATCCCCGGTTGTGCGAAGGTGTAGTTATCCTGCAAAGGACACGGAGCCTGGGGTGAGCAGTGTCAGACCAGCTGCCTGCTGCACCTAGAGCTCACGGAGGCACAGGCTGCGCTGTGGTCACTGCTGATTGTGCGCTCGCACGTGCGTGGGTGTGTGTTGCACAGGCCAGGGAGGGCTCGGGTATCCTTCCTCAGACACCGTCCATCTTGGTTTTTTGAGAGAAGCTCTCACTGAGACTGGAGCTCAAGGATTAGACAAGGCACCTCCCCCGTGCTAGGGATCAGACTCAGGTTCGCTTTATTAACTGAGCCGTCTCTGCAGCCCCTGAAGCACGGGGGACACTGGACCTCAGTCTAGTGCCGCACACAGAAGAGGCAGGGGAGCCCTGGCCGGGGTGTGTGTGTGTGTGTGTGTGTGTGTGTGTGTGTGTGTGTGTGTCTCGCCTGACACGGGGAGCAGTAAGGAGGGGGCAGCCTCGGAGCCCCGCCCGACACACCTGGATCCCGTCCAGCAGCTTGCTCATGCACCAGAAGCTGTCGGCTTCAATGCTTCGCAGCATGTCCTGAGACAAGTTGGTCACGTCAAAGTTCTCCACATCCTCCTCTGTAAGACAAAAGGGGAAGACAATCCAGAGGCCCGATCTGAAAACGGAGAGAGAGAGACAGAGTCCCCAGACCTCCATGGGCTCTTCAGGCCAGGGAGAAGCAGGCGACCTATTGTCGGGGGACGAGCTGCCCTTCTGGAGTCCCCAGGGATCTCGCTCTAATGCTGACTGCACCACTTCTCACTCCAGCCCGGCGTACCTTGCTCTCCCTTGGCATTTATCACTTAAGGTTTTTTTTTTTAAGAGAAAAATACATTTCTTTTATTTTCTCTATTGAAAGTCACATACAAAAATAAAGTCACAAAAAAGCAGCATAAGAGGGGTGACAGGATTTATTCTTTTTTTTAATTTAAAAAATTTTTTTATATTAATTACAGTTTATTCACTTTGTATCCCAGCTGTAACTCCCTCCCTCATTCCTCTTTATTTTTTGGTTTTTGGATTTTTTTTTTTTAAATGACCACTCAGGACTTCTGCCCAGCTCAACTCCAGGAACAACCCAGAAGAGCCCTTTGATGACAGATACTCAGTGCGCTGTCTCCCACACTCCGGGGACACCGGGGTTAGCACCCTGCTCGGCAGTGAAGGACTCCCTGAAAGGGACCGAGGGAAGAAAAGCCGAGCCTGTGGGTGCCTCTGGGACTTAATTCTCCCACTGCTATAGGATACACACACACACACACATACACACACACACACACACACACACACACGCTCTGTAGACAAATGCCTTTGTGAAAGAAACACTGCATTTTTATATCAGCATCTTGGGGACTCAGCAAGACCATAAATATACCCACGGCACACAAGAGGATACCAGGATACAAGTGTCCACTAAGCTGGAGGACAGGGCCTCTTTCAGCAAGGAACGCTAACTGAAGTGCGTGCATGTGTGTGTTTGTATGCCATGTGTGTGCGGGGAGGCCTGCAGAGTCCACAAGAGGGTGACAGATCCCCTGGTGGAGTTACTGGAGGTTGTGGGTACTGGGAACTGAACTCGGGACCTCTGGAAGAGCAGGAAGATGTCTTAACCACTGAGTCATCCCGCCAGCCCAACCGTCTACTAACTCCTCATGGAAATTCCGGGTTATAGCTGGGATGAGAGCCTGTCTGGTCTGAGGACCAAGCAGAGGAGACAAGAAAGCCAGAGAAGGCCTGCCACAGGGCGGCCTCGGTAAGATGGGCTCTCCTGCTCGCTAGCTGGGCACCTGCATGCCTGTCAGAGGCCATGTGCCAGCGCCAAGGCCCTTCGGCTCTGCACAAAAGCCAGGCCCATCAGCGTTGTTTACAAACAGAAGTGTTCACTGCATGCAGCCCTTGTGCCAGGGACACAGTCAGCTGACAAAATCCACTCAGAATCTCATCCTTGCAGTCATGAGAATGACTATAGAGCCCTTTGCCCACACGGCTTCACACTGTTTAACGGTTCCTGGGTCCCCATTCTGCTTGAAGAATGGAAAAGTTAAAATTATATATTTGTGTGTGTGTGTGTGTGTGTGTGTGTGTGCGCGTGCGGTGTGAGATGCCACAGCACGTGTGCGGAGGTCAGAGGACAACTTGTGGAAGCCTGTTCTCTCCTAATGTGTAGATCCAGGGTACTGAACTCAGACCCTCACGCTTGGCAGCGGGAGCCTTTCTCCACTGTGCCATTTCCCTGTCCAAGCACTGTTTTCTTGTAGCTTTTATGAACATCAGAGGCAGACACGGGGGTGGGGACGGAAGCTGTTGGAGACGATGAAGTACTTTCTCAGAAAAGCCAGGACAGCCAGAGCTAACACACGTGAAGTAGTAACTGCCACGCCTCATACATAGTAGGTGCAGAGATTGTTTTAGATGATGTTTCTCAGGAATTTATAATGATGCAGAAGGCACGCTCAGTAGCGGAGAAGAGCGAGGAGGAGTAGGGTTTCTCAGGGCAGACTGTCGATTGCCGCCCGTGCAGTGTGGGCTCACACAGCGGGGCGGGACGGGACAGCTCGGCTCACCGTGCCTTTAGTAGAGGGAGAAGGATTTGATTCTCTTTAACTTTTGTGGGACTTTTAAAAATGGCCCCAATACACATAATTTTTATAGTTGTCCAAAACTGTTTTTAAAGGGGAGCCACATTGACCACGGTTGCCTTTTATCACTAAAAAAAAAAAAAATAATAAAGATTTTGTAAAACAGTATCAACCTTGCAGAAATGAAGAATTCAGATAACACATAATGATCTAATTGGGAGATCACATTAAAACAACAAAAAAAAAACCTTCCAGCTAGGTACTCAGGGAGTGAGAAGCAGGCAGATCTCTGTGAGTTCAAGCCCAGCCTACTCTACAAAGTGAGTCCAGGACAGCCATGGCTACACAGAGAAACCCTGTCTTGAAAAACCAAAACCAAAACCAAACAAACAAGCAAGCAGAACAACTTCCAAGAAATATCACATCTCTGACTTCAGAATCATTATGCATTGGGTTTGGGGGTGGCTGCGGCGTTATTTAAATTTAACTGGGCCCTAAGACTCCACTCCGAGGTCTTCATGTGTGCTGCAGTCCCGGGCTGCTCCACAGACCCCCACTACTCCTGACTCCTCAGGGGCGTGGGCCTGGCTTGCCTCCAAAGCTCACAAGGGCAGACACGGCCTGCGGAGATGCTCAGGCCCTTGGAGAGCGCCTTCCTCAGCAGTGGGCACTCAGTTCCACTCACCCGCCCTGGGCAACAGCCCCCACAGCTGAGACAGGGTGTTCCCACAAGACCACCCCACCTCCTTACACTTTCCCAAAGGAAGGTGCACAGCTCCATATTTACTTCTGATTTTCTAACTTTTATTTTTTTAGATTTTCTTATTTTGTATCTGTCTCACCTGTACGCATATATGTGAACCACGTGCATGCCTGGGGCCCACTGTGGCCAAAAAGGGGCACAGAATCCTCTGGAACTTGAATTATGGAGGACTTCTGAGTCACCGGGGTTGGGAACCGAACCTGGGGCCTCTGCAAGAGCAACAAGCCAAGCAAAAATGCTCCAAAGGGCTGAGCCACCTCTCAGCCCTAACTGACCTTTATTTGATGGGCACTTTGCCTTATGTGTGTATCTCTGCACCTCATGGAATCCCTGGAACTGTAAGCCACCATGTGGGGCTGAGAACTGATCCAGGGTGCTCTGAAGGAGCAGCCAGTGTGTGCAGCTGCTGACCACACTCCATAGCCCTGTTTGCACCTTCAGGCAGGTGTGGGGGGGGGGGCGGACGTGGGGGGGCAGGCAGAGAACAACCTTCAGGAGTTGGTCCTCCCCCTCCACCCTGCTGAATGAGAGGTGGGGTCTCCTTCCAGGCCAGCAAGCTTCCTCGACTGTGCTGTCTGCCTTGCCCTCCCACTGCAGGCCTGCTGGGATTATTCACCACCTTTTACTGGGGCTCTGGCTTTTAAGGCTACACAGCACACACTTGGCTCTGTCTCACGCGGGCAGAGCCCAGTCCTCGCTCTGTTTCTCACATGGAGGTCAGAGAACACTTGTGGGAATCGGTTCTCTCCTGCCACCATGTAGGTCTCGGGGATTGAACTCAGGTCATGAGGCTTGGTGGCAAGCTCCTTCACCTGAGGAACTACCTTACCAGCCCTAATTTCCAGTTTTCTACCCCTACCTTTTGGTTATAAGTAGGAAAAATTACACATAGCTATGAAGAGTCACGAGCTGGCAAGGTGCTACACTTGGTAACTGTGCCATCTCCAAACCTTCAGCTATGCCAAGAGCAAACAGCCTACAGATAAAGTGAACCCTATTCAGGGGCCTCGAGTTGCTGGGCTATGGTCAGCCATGTGCCCTTGGAGCACTTCCTGGGGGTGAAAATGGGGTAGCTCAGGGCACTTCCTGGGGATGGAAAGTGAGATAGCTCAGTGCACTTCCTGGGGGTGAAGAATGGGGTAGCTCAGGGCACTTCCTGAGGATGGAAAGTGGGATAGCTCAGTGCACTTCCTGGAGCTGAAGATTGGGGTAGCTCAGGGCACTTCCTGGGGATGGAAAGGGCTGGGGTGCCCAGAGCTCTTTCTCTGCCTGCTGGGAAACACACTCAACAACTGAGTTGAGCACAGCAGCATAAAAACAGCAGGGAGGGAAGAGTGCGCTCTGAAGGGCTTCATTCACCATAAACAATCTGCTCAGGAGGATCATTAACTGTCCACTTGAGGGAACTCCACACAGAACTGAAGCACAGCAGGAAAGCGAGCCAGCCTCTCAGCCACACACGAGGGCCTCTCGCCTTCGCCTTCAGTTGTCCCGAGTGTGTGGCAGCCCAGGACTGGCCGCAGGGAACAAGTTTAAGGAGTTTATGGCTATTTTAAGAGGCAACGCATCCAAAAGGGGGAAACCGAAAAGCTCTTCATGAAAACAACATTGCCCACTGTGGGCTTGGTCAGAACATGGCCACTGATTAGCTGATAAAATGCACTGAGGCCCTGGCTCCAGTCAACAGCTGGTTTTGCTTGGAACTCTTGGAGTCCTAGCCCCAGGGCAACCAGTGGAGGCTCTGAGGAGAGGAGAGGAGAGAGCTGGCTCTGCTCACTGTCCCAGGCACTTCCCAGGAGCCCAGCAGGGACCCCAGGTCCCAGCTTCTGTGATCCTGCCAGACATGCAAGCTATCAGCGGCAGAAGGCTGTGGAGCATGGTCATTCTCCCCACCCCCAAGACTAGAGTCCCTTGCATACGATGAGCATGGTAGCTCACGCCTTTAATTCCAGCACTTAGGAGGCAGAGGAAAGTGCATCTCTGTGGGTTCGAGGCCAGCCTAGTCTACACTTCAAGTTCCAGAACAGCCAGGGCTCCATCGTGACATGCTGTCTTAAAAACTAAAGAATCTCTTGCACGGCACGTTCTGATCAGAGAAGCACAAGGGCTGGGAGACAGCGCAGAGGGTAAAGCAACTGCCTGCATGCATGAGGGCTCGAGTTAGCTCCAGCAGCCATCTGAAAGCCACACCCTCAACAGTGAGCAGATGAGGCCCTGAGAACACAGACCTTTGCTG